GGGCTGCCCTGAAGCCCTGCCCAGGCTGGGAGGGAGCAGAGCTGGTACCAGTTTTGTGACTGGTTAGTTTAGTTGCAGGGCTGCACATTGACATGCTCACAAGCTGCAAGGCATGCTGTCCCCTCACAGTTTAGTAATATCTATAGCTCCATTATAGATCTATCTATAGTATGGGCCAGTGAGACGAGAATGTTGTGTCTTCAGGTCTTGTGACACTGACACTTCTGCCAGGCTTGGTACAGCTTCTTTTCTTGCTGGCTAGTGGATAAGAAACTTGTTGATTGCTGTGGAGAGGGAAAGCAGCCTGGAAGTGGAAAGGCAGTTCTGTGCTGCATGCTGGGCTGTCTTGTCATGTGGTGGGATTGGAGGGTAAAAACTTCTGAGGATTAAATGGAGACAGACGAGACCTCTCCTAGGGGCACAGTAAAGCTCTTCTGTAAGTATGATGTGTTCTCTCATTTCTCCCTCCTTTCTGGCATAAGATGTTACTCTGGTGTATCTCTTTTTTTCCTTTCAACCTAATGTGATTCCATTTTATCAATTTACTGCCTGTCTCCTGATTCCCATGGCAACACAACAGGCTGCATTTGTGATTCCTTTGGCAGTTGGGGTGCCTGGCATGTGTCTTGGGAGCAGCAAGATTACAAAAGGGTTCTGCAGGGAGTAGGAAATACATGGGCAACACTCACTAGCTTCTCATGCTAAACTATTTTTCTCTTCCTCTCCCTCCTCCCCTTCAGAAACAAGTTTCCTTTGCCCTTTGTTTCAATTGCCTGGTGATAAGAAATGAGCAACTGCAGTGCTGTGGGAGGTCAGAAGATGTGGAGGGGGTGAGGGGATGTGGATGGCACTTAGACATAGCACAAGGCAGAGCATCTCATCAGGGGTCCTGCAAAGAAGGGTATTCCTGCTGATGCTGCAGAGCAAGTGCTCTGTTCCTCCTGCTTCAGCTTTCAGAGTTTACTTGAAGGGGGACTCTTGCTCCTCTACTGTGCAAAGCTCTCTTCACCCCTTCCTACAGCAGGCACTTCTGAGAGCTGGTAGAGTCTGTCCCGTTTGTGGGGGGAGTCCTGCTTCCAGGGATTTTGGACACATGGCTTTCATTGGCACAGTAATGAGAGCCATGTGAACAGGCTGAAGCTTCAGTTAAAACCTTTAATCTCTCCAGCTCTTGGCTGATAGGGATTTGTTTGGCTCCTGAAGTACTGGTGCCCTGTCACTGTGGGGTACCCTGCCACTGTGGACCCCTGCAACTGATGGGACAAGTTTATAAGAGGGGTCCTAAGCACCAGGGCTGCTGTGGCTGTTACGAATGTGTCGTGGGAGCTTTATGAAGGGAAAATAGAGATCTAGAGTTGGATAAGATGTGCATATAGTGGGTGCTGCGTGTATGACTGATTTATAAGTTGTTGTTCAGCCCTGAAAGCTGACCTACAGGAAGACCATTTAAACTGAAAAGAATGAGCTGGCCCATGGGTACAATAGGGTTATAAAGTTGGAAAGCCTAAGTGGAAGAGATCCTGCTTTCTGCTTGTTGTGTCTTGGAGCCTGGCCCCTGCGAGAGGGAGGGAGGAGCTGCAGTCCTCTGGCAAGTGAGGCTCATGTTGGACAGAGCAGCAGAGGGAGATCCTCCTGGACCAAGGGAGGAAAGAGCTTTCCTCTTTGCTGGCTTCCAGGTGAGCTGCTGAGTAGGATGCCCAATAGTCACCTTCAAAGACTTCCTGTGGCTTCTTGATCAGCATCAGCAGGTAATGGCAGGGTTGGAGTAGAAGATGATCAGTCTGTATTTTGTTGGTTTTGTTTCTCTTGTGAAACTCTCAACTTTGTACCTGAGATCTGTAGCCTTGCTTTGCTGCCAGAGTGTTTTTTGGAACTTGGTGTTCCAAGTTTGGAGCTGGGCGGTCTGACCAGGAGCAACAAATCCAAGTGGTAGAGGCATAGACAAGCTCTTTGGATGTTTTAACAACAGGGCCATAATGAAGGTGAACCTCTGGCAGTGCCTCACTTAAATCCTATTTCTGAATAGTTCACCTCATGCTAAAGAATAATAATCCTTCTGACTGAGCTGCTCTGCTCTGGAGCCTACAATTAGATGGTTTCCCTGAGATGTTGTAATTACTGTAGTTGCAGCCCTGCCTGTCAGACTGGCACCTAAAAGCAATGGAGGCTATAAAGTCCCACTAAATTTTGGCTTTTGGAGGAACACAATGTTACACCAAAAGTCTAGTGAACTTTCTTTTCTTCTTTATTCTGGTCCAAGTCAGTATTTGAAGGTGTTTGCTCTCACAGTGAAATATGTGAGTCTAGACATGGTTTTAAATCCTGCTGCATTGTTTGTTCAGCCTTAGGCAGCCTTCCTGCGTTTCTCTGCTTGAGCTTCACTGCTGAAGGGTTTGCTTATCTAAGCCACATTGCAGAGGTGTTTGTGAACACTAATGTAACCTGTATCTTGATCCTTAACTAACAGCTGTAATAAGGACGTGTGCTGAAATCAGGCTCCAGTAGGACTAGAAAACCAGCTTTGATCTTGTTGAATGCAGATGCAGAGCCCCCCAGTTGCTGTGCTTATAGTGTGGTAAAGTTGAATTTGGCTGTTGTGCTTGGCAAGTTGCACACGTGTGTCACAAGCATGCCAGCAACATGAAATCTGTGTGTTGCGGCACTTTGCTGAACATGGACCAAGGATGGAAGTTGTGTTTCTAATTTATTCTCATAATCATGGAAGGAGAGAGGTACATATCACAGATGCTGTTGGTGATAAACTACTGTAGCCATCTCTGGTTATTAAACTAAAAGTTTCTTTAATATAACTTGCAGGTTCCTAATCTGGCTTCTTTACTGTCCTGTGCTACTAAACACTGACATGAAAATGGTCTTATTTTCTGCTTATGGTTGCTTTTATGGTTCATATGGATGGAACTCTGTTTCCTCCCCATCTCTTCTTCTTTCAAGTCTTTTGTAAAGATCAAAAGCTCTAAGCATCCTTATAGGTTTTGGGTTTTGCTTTTTAAGGTGGAGCCAGTTCTTGGATGTAATATCCCTCTAATGGACCTCATGTTCTCATACTGTCTTTTACAATACTGGGAGTAACACAGGCTTGAATGTCAGGTATTTGCCAAAAAAAAAAGTTAATGCAGAACATGTGAGGTTGAGGAAACTTTCAGAGTAGGGCCCAAAAGCCAAGAGAAGGTTTCTCCAAGAAGCCACAAACAAACTGGTGCAACTGTGCCATAGAGATCTGTCAAGAGCATTGACTCTGGAGTCTAATGAGAACAAAACTATCAATATTAATTGCTCTTGGTGCTGGTTCAGGAGAAACTAAGTTCTTTATGCTGCCACTGAAGCATTGCTGCTCTTTTCTTTCCCTGACATTAGCAAAGCTTTGAGGTATCTTGGTTTGAGAGTTTTCTATTCGTCAGGCTTTCTAGAAGCTGAACCTTATCTTTCAGGCCCATTACTTCTGAAAGAGCTGTAGGAATGATGCAGTGGTGTCTGAGTCTGAACAGCTTTCACAGTTCATTTCAGACAAGCACTTGAGTTTGGCTTGTCTCTGCAGCTCTGAGGCTTTCTCTGTCACCCTTCTCCAGTAGGAAAGACAAATCTCTTCCTGGGTGGGCTTTAGGCTGTTCTGGTTGGTGGCACCCAGAAATTTCAGCTTAAAGTTTGATTAAAGAGCCCAGGTCACTTTCATTGAGCACAGGATGTATGGGGCCAAGTCTTGTGCACATACCCCTGCTACACTAGCTGTGGGGAGAAGTACACTTGGGACCTCAGTGCTACCAAGAACTGAGGATGAATGAAGGTCCATGGTATATGACTTGCTGGATTTATTTTTCAAGCTAAATTCTGCAATGTCTTGTGTGGTTTCTTTTAGGGCTTTACTTAACCTCCTCCTTTAACCTTCATAGGATTTTAATGGATTCCGTATGTCCTTGTCTTTAGTTCCCTGGGGCCTAGGCTGAAAGCCCAGTTTGTGATAGTTTGACGGTGGTGTCTACATGAGTTGGGTCCCACTGTCTTGTTTGCTTGGGTTTTCTTTGTTCCACTTCAGATGCCAGTCACATACTTAAGGGCCTCCTTGTGTATTAGAATGAGTTTGGCCAATCAAGGGTGTGCTGAAGAGCGAGCGGGACAGTGAATTTCCAGCATCACCTGCAGTTTTCCCTCTCTCAGTTCAGGGAAGCATTTTTGGAGGTCTGGCTTCAACTTGATGGACTGATGCTGGAATAAGTGCTCTTTACTGTGGGTTTTATTGAGTTTGGTGCATGGTGTGTCAGCCCTAGCAGGTTGTGCATGCAGAGGTGTGTAGATGTTTCCTGTTTAGAGAGATGCTGTTTATATTGAACATACCCCAAGTGTCTGCTCACTGCTGGGTTCTGCTCCAGCAAAGAGCATAACAGCAGCTGGGAAAACTGAGTAGATTGCAGAGACAGCTGCGTGGTCCCACAGGAGCTATTAGTGCCCTTGGTGGGACTCTAAATGCTCGGCCTGTTTGCCTGTAACCGAATACGTGGAGGAGTTGCAGTAGCACCAGGTACTAAAATATCAGTGTCTCATACTTTTCTTGTTTTTCTTATTTATTATGTTTTGGATGACTTTGGCATCTTTCTTCAAAGCAGCAGTTCTTGGTCTTGTTTTGATCCTGAAAGACTTAGCACCACTCCTGTCCTTTTAAACTTATTCACTTTAATACTGCCATGCAAAATAGCCTTTGGAGTTGTGGTGGGACTGGGGCATTGCAAAGGGGGATGAAGACGTGGAGTGGGCTCTTTGTGTGCAGAACCTGGGCAGCAGATGGAAATTTCTGTGCAAATTGCTTTCCTGCTGAGGAAGATGTGTAAGTAACGGGGTCACTCTGGTTTTAACCTCCACTCGGTGTTAACCTGCAACCTAAGTTGTTGTCCCAGATGTTTCCTTTCTGTAAATGCCCTTACCTGGTGTTTTGGCTGCCTTTTAGGATTTTCTCCTTATACCAAAACCTCTTTTCCCTTGATTCACAGGCTCACCTTTACACAAGCAGGGTACCACCTCCACCACCAGCGCCGAGAAGTCGGGTTCAAAGGTTGCCGAGGTGGGCGATGATTTCCTGGGAGACTTTGTGGTGGGCGAACGCGTCTGGGTAAATGGAGTGAAGCCAGGTGTGATCCAGTATCTTGGGGAGACACAATTTGCTCCGGGCCAGTGGGCAGGGGTTGTTCTGGATGACCCAGTGGGTAAGAATGACGGCTCTGTCGGTGGAGTGCGGTACTTTGAATGCCAGCCGCTGCAGGGGATCTTTACGCGACCGTCCAAGCTGACGCGGCAGCCGGTGGCCGAGGGCTCGGGGAGCGACGGCCCCTCCGTGGACTCCTTGACGGCTCAGAACTTGTCGCTGCACTCGGGGACAGCTACGCCACCTCTCTCCAGTCGTGTCATCCCCCTGCGGGAGAGCGTCCTCAACAGCGCCATGAAGACGGGCAATGAGTCTGGATCTAACCTCTCGGACAGTGGGTCTGTGAAAAAAGGGGAGAAGGACTTACGGCTTGGAGATCGCGTGCTGGTGAGTTGATGGTGGGGCCTCTCTAGAAAGGCAAAGATCAAGGATTTGCCCCTTCCCAAAGTGTACCCAGTCAGGTTCAGGACAAGACAAAAGGAGGACAACTGGTGGTGAAGTGTGGGACAGAGCCTGGCCTTTGAAGGGGGATGCCTGGACCAAGCAGGCTTTGAATTGGATGGGGCTTGGAGCAACCTGCTCTAGTGGAAGGTGTCCCTGCCCATGGCAGGGGTTTGGAACTAGATAAGCTTTAAGGTCCTTTCCAACCCAAACCATTCTGTGATTCCGCAATTCATTGTTATTTGGGATGCTGTGTCTTCTGGACGTGTTTCTTTCACATGATGCAAGAGACTGGTCCAGTAGAGTAAGTCCTGACCTCCAGTAGAATGAGGTCAGAGAGAAGGCAACTCAGATGTGAGAGGGAAATAGAAGAAAAATCATTGATGATTATTTAGATACTCTCCATATTGGTGTGTATTGCAGCTTTTGAGTAATTTGTGTATTGTTTCATGTGGTTGTACATACTCTGCTGGTAACTTCCCTTTTGGTGCTTCAGTTTTTATATGTGTTGGATGTGACACTAATTCCTTTCCTGTACAGAAAGCAACTTGCAATTGTTTTTATATAAAGGCAGAACTTTTGGAGAGATTCTGGATGGGTTCCCCATATCTGATTGTTGCTGCTGTTTTCGTTATCTAGAAGAGAGTACCTGATGACTTTAAGCCAAAATACCACACTTAGTAGCAGTGTGGCTTACTGGAAGTTTGCCGTCAAGCTTAGCGTCATTTGTGTCCTAGCAAAGGAGTAGTGATTTCAGTGGAGGAGGAGAAGGAAAAGGAAGCTAACAAAGCATGGGAACTCAAAGCATGAGTTTTGTTCTGCAGCTCTGGAAAAGAGTTTAATTTTGTTTAGTGTGTGTGATACGTACTGTCATATCAAATATTGGAGGAGCCAAGCATTTGAGCACAGATCTGTTACGATATCCCCAGTAACATCCCTGGATCCAGAAGATGAAGGTGACTGACCACCTGTGATAATGGATTGCAGAAGGTTAGTCTTTGTACATCCTGGGCCATCTGGCTCCCATTTAAATCAGCTATGTAGCATTTCCTTTTTGGGGCGCTGGGTTCCAATACCAATAATGGTAGCAGGGAAGTGTAGACAGGCTTGCCAACTGTTTAATAACTGGGTTTGGTAGAACTTGGCTCTGCAGCTGATGTGAGTCAGGAGTGTGTGCAGGGGGCTGTCAGAGGAAATCTCGGTGTCCTTTGTGGTCTCATGGTGGGGTTTTTTTGGCTCTGTTCTGTCTCAGCCAACCAGGCAATGGAGTAGTGTTTTTCAGAATTCAGGTTTAGCCCTTTTCTTCTCCTGGGGCATGATCTGTCCACTTAATACTCTGCTTACCTCAGTGGGGCCCACCCAGACTAAGAGTTCAGCATACTCAGGCAATACAAACTGTTAGTATCTCTCCCTTTAGCTTCTGTTGAGTTGGTTTGGGGAGTTTTAGGGGTAATTTTGTTTGTTTGTTTGTAATGTGGGTGCATCCTTAAAAGCCCACCCTCCTGGCCTGCTAATTTATCCACCCCAGGTGTTACAAGATAAAATTTATGCTATCATTTGTTAGTGTAATAAATGGCTCCAAGAGTGAATCTGGAATGAGCTCAGCATCTCACTGTCTCTAGCAGGACTCCTCAGCTTACATTGGGAATTGTTTGCATGAATTAGTAGAGGTCCAGGAAAAGACCAGATAATGAATGACAAGAAAAAGAAATAATTTTGCTGTTAAGTTCAGTAACATGTGCTTGGCTTGGCAGATGGCTTCTTTCAGTAATGGAGATGTCAGCTAACAATGTTTGGTGCTTGAATGCATACATAATAATTCTGGATTAAGCTGAGTTGCCTCAAATACCTTGAGTAAATCTTTGCTCTTGTCCTCTATGGATCGGTACAGGTTTAGTTGTCTTTATTACTCTGTGCTTTTATGAAAGATTTTCTTTTTATTTGAGGATGGCTTTTAGGCAGATGGGATCCAGCAAAGGCTTTTCAAGTGAGGGAGGACACGTGTGTTCTGTAACTGCTCAGAGGATGGAGCACAAGGTTGCAGGGGTCCCTTCCAGGTCTGTGAGGCTGTTCTGCATTGTGCTCATTCCCTGCTAGTGGTTTCATTTAACTTTGCTCAAGTCCATTATAGCTTGAAGACAATTTTGCTTTTCAGTGAGTTTGTTCTGAGACCCTTTTTGGCACTAGCAGTTGCAAAAAGTGACTTCTGGCTTTCCATTAGAAGAAGTAGATAGTATTTGCTTTCGGCACTTTCTAACTCAGATTTTCTCCCAGAGATGCAAAAATTTCATTAAAGAGATAAAACCCCCACTCTAATATTGTAGAACTCATCTCTTAAAGTCTGACAAGTGAATGTGGAACAGTTAACATTTGCTTTAGTAAGAATGGAGCTTCCCAAAGTAAGATAATTGCTGGAGTGCTGCAGTTAATGTGAGGCTGGCTTGTTGCCTTTCTCCAGGGAAAGAAGGGATGGAAACAGAGTGATGGAGCAGTTGAGCATTTTCTGCTTGGGAGGAATCTCTGCTGTGTTTGTTTTTTTTTTTCCTAAGAAAATGTATTTTACATGCTTTGGGGAGGCTTTCTAAGCAGATAAACACATTCCATCCTACATGTGATTGCTTTCTTAAGGTGGGAAGGAAGTGGCTGTTCTCTGTATGTCAGTATAAATAAATAATAATACTAACAATCTAATATAGGTATTCTGGCTTTCAGCCTTCATTCTCCTAACTGGGATTGCACTTTTCAGTACTGAATTGTAGTAAAAAACAAGACTCTTTAAGAGCCAGGTTATATCCCAGTGGCTGATTGACTCTTGCTGGGAGGAAGTTGCCCCAGATACCCTTCAGATACATTCCAGTTGTGTGATTTTTGCTATGTCTTGTAGGTGGCCAAAGGCAGAACAGATGCTGAAAGAGCAGCAGCAGCTCTAGTGGGGAGATTCCAATGAAGTGATGCTGGATGGCAGCACTGCTGTGGCAGGCTGGCTGGGCTGGTGAAAACAGACTCTGGGCTCCCTCCTGAGTGTGTGATTTGAATCACTTTCTCCTCTCTGTGCAGCAGTCTCTTTGCCTGTCCTGTGTTGCAACCGCTGGCTCTTGGCAAGTGAAAATTCTCATGAATAAAGTAGTCATGTTCTTCAGCATTGCCCCTGCCCTAACCCTACTCTGCAGCCTGAAGCTGCAGAAAGCCTTTAACCACCTGGGTGAAAACTCACTGCCATTAGAAGCTCCCTGGTGAGGAGAATTGCAGCCTGAGCCCTTCTTCTTGGGCAGAGACAACTACTTGGCTGCTGCTGCCAGCTTGCTGTGAGCTATTTCAGTGCCTGAGTCTGAAGCCTTGATGCTGTGAAGGCGTATGAATGAGGTGTTATGAAGGAAAGATTCGAGCTCTTTCTCAGAGCTTCCTGGGGTTTTAGAGGAGCAGCACTGCTCCTGTATGGGCTTTACAGATGAGCAGTCGCAAGACAATTTCCTTATTGCAGACCAGGCAGTAAGAAGAGACAGATCCTGTTCTTTAGTTCTAGTAGTAATTTCTGGGAAGGTGTTCTCAGTATTTCATTGCCTGCTTTCAGCTCAGTCCCTAAGGACACTGTGTCATGACTGGATTGTGTAACAGTGTAGTAGAGCCCAAGACCTTGCTTGGGAGCATGGGAATGACTGAGCTCTGTCCCTAAGGTGTTTTGTGACAGGCAGTGGGAAGTGCAGTCTTCCAGTTGTTTGCAGGATTCGGGAGACAAGAAAACATCTAGGTCTTCTAGTTCAAGCTCTTTCCTTGCTATCTAAGATAGTTGCCCCTCCATGGTGTGAAATACAGTGTGACTGGTGTTGTCACAGACCCAAGTGTTCCTGTCACTGCAGTGAAACTAAGAGAAAATAAATAGCCCAAAGCAACCACCCTTCCCTGCTGCCACATTAACCCTTGGAAGCTTCTTGTGCACTCACACACCCTCCTAAGTGTTCATTTAGGTTGATGCATTGGCCAGTTCTTATCTTCTGTATGCATTATATATCATTAAGTAGGAGTTGTAAGTGGCCTGTGGTGGAGCAAATGGTGTTATTACCATGGGTGGACTTTGTATCAGGCTCAGGAGGGGATGCTGTAATTCTAGGCTTTCCTCTTACTCCACATCCATAGGACATTATTTTCTCAATGGTGCCTGAAAGATAAATGTGCAGAAAGGTCTTGCATCAGCAATGCTGTCAGACTCATCCCTGTGCAATGCTGACTCAGGCTGTGGGGATGCAAAAAGATGAGTGGTTCCATTAAAGGAAACTATAAAAATTCCTGTAACTTCACATAGGGAGGGCTGTCCTGTAATTCCTGGCTGCATCTTTCTGCCTCTACCCTAAAAGCTTCACTCTCTTCATCCTAAAAGCGTGTTCTGGCATTCAGAGATGACATGGTGAGTATCTGGTTGGATGAAACTGCTGATGGCCACCTGAAGTAAGTTGTATTTACAGACAAACTTGACCACAAGCCAGATCTTCACTTTACCACCAGCTTGCTGAATGCTGTTCCTGGCTATCAGATGGGACACAGGAAGTGGCATGCATTTCCATATATATGCACATTAACTCCTTGTATGTATAGATCATTATTTCATGTGATCTGTAGTGGCTGGAACCACACCTGCTGCAAAAAATACCCTCTGTAAATCAAGTCTCGTACAGTAATCTGCCATTGGTACTTGGAAGAGCAAGAGTGGTGGGAAAACGCAGAGTCTACCTGTCTCAGCTTGCATGGAAGCAGGCTCCTTGTCTGGGTGGATGAGCGTGTGTGTGAGAAATACCTCTTTTTCCACAAAGGGAAAGGATGGCTGTTTCACTTTACACACTGGATACAGCCTGCAGCTACAGCTCAAGAGCAAGCAGCACGTGTCCAATAAAGGTGAGCTTTAATTTCTTGTTAGTACCATCCAGTAACAGTGTTGAGTAAGCTTATGTGCTTCGCATTGAAAGCAGATGAAGGTCTAAGGAGTAAAGAAAGGTGTCCTGTCTGCCCTTTCCCCCTGTCCTTTTCCTTTGTCCTCCCACATGCAAGCAGTAGGAGAATTTCACTGCTGACTCCTGGACCATGCATGTCATGATGGGGAGCAGTCCATGTTGGCCTGAATGACACATTGCTTTGCCTGCAAGCCCTGGGTTGAGGACAGCTCTTAAAAGGTTCTTGCTCAGAGCAAGAGACTGTTGTGGGGTGAGCACATAAGGAGGGGGGGGGACGTAAGGAAAAGAGCAAACGCAGGCTGGAGGGAGTCTGACTTGCAGCAGCCGCATTGCGATACAGCCTGGTGCTAATTTGGTAAGTTGTTTCAGTGATGTATTAGCAGCTTTGATGAAGGCAGTGTCTGGAAGGATCAGCATCACTGTCTGTCCATTGCTGGGATATTGGTCTGGATCCAGTTTCATCATTTTGATGAGAAAACTATAGTAAATCATAATGTCAGTGATACTGTAGTTAGCAGGGAAGGTATGTGGATGTCCTTCAATGAGTGCGTATTGCTCACCAGTTGGGATACAAACCTGTTAAATGTTCCTGGCTTCATTTTGTTGTGAAGGTCAAGGCCAAGAGTGTCACTTCAGGTGAGATTGGGATGATGGTCTTGAGCCAAAGGTGTAAGAAGGGCATCGGATTGCTGAGGCAGAGCACTTCAGTCTGGACCTGAACTGTCCAGGAGCTCTGAGGCTGCTTGAATCTGGCTGGAGAAGGTGGATCACTATGAGCTTGTTTGAAGTTAATCCTAAGTGATTTATTTACCTGGAATGGAGAAACTGTGGTAGGGGTTGAAACTGGATGACCTTTAAGGTCCCTTCCAACCCAAACCAGTCTGGGATTGTATGAAAAAGACAGGTTTTTCTATCCAGTTTCTTTGCTTTACTCTGGGTACTTGGCAAGTTGCAGGTGTGATTGTGGCTCTGATTAACGCGCCAGGCTGAGACATGCAGACACGTTTTCCATGTCTCAGGCTGGCACTGATGCTAATGTCAGGCTGAGATGCTCATAGGATGGAAATCCTTTGGTCTCTAGTGTGATGCAGCTGAGTCTTGTTAGTGCAGCAAGAGCCATCCGCCTGGGCTGTCTTCCATACTCAGATTGTGGAGCATGGTATCAAAACTAGGCATGGGCAGGAGGGGTGGCTGTGCACTACCAGGAACTGTGCTATGCAATTGCTAACCTCCCTGCCATTAACAAGCTGCCTTTTATCCTCCTTCCAAGGTGATACCTCTGATTTACTGAGGAGTCTGATAGAAACAAACCCTTCTGTTTTGATTGGACCATTCTGTGCGCTGATACAACCTGCCAGCTGGCTTCTCCCAAAACACATTATTGACTTTAGCAGCATTAGAGGATTATCAAGGCTGAATAAACCTGCATGTCTGAGTTGGATGAAATTTCTAGGCTCTCCATCCAGAAGAGTTTCTGTGTGCCTGCCAAAAGATGGGGAACTCAACAAGAGGGTCAAGTGCTGGCATGTGAGTGTGACAGCCTGATATTGGCTTCTGACTGTACTGCCAGCCCTAGCAGGCTGTTGAAAGAGCAGATGTGTCCTTTCTGGCTTTGAGAGAAGGTAATGCTGTATGGTGAGGGTGTATTATGTAGAAAAGATGGTAGTAATTAATGCTTGAAAGAGAAAATAAACCACATTGCTCTGGAAGCAGAGGATCGCTTGGCTGTCTGGGGGAGTGTTAGAGCTGATCTGTGCTTAGCATCTTCACTGATGTATGGCTTTTGAGTAGGAACATGACCTGCTCTCTTACTGTGCAGATTTAATGTTGGTCTGATTAGGGAATGTGTGTATTAAATTAATAGGGCTAGTTCTTTTCTCTGCTGTTAGGAAACAGCCTTCTCAAAATAGTAATATCTGTGGGGATGTAACTGAGTGGTCTTGTTGGTTTTGTGGATGGAGGAGTGTGGCTCTCGTAGATGCCCCAGAACAGCATGGTAGGAGTCCTGCTGATAGAGGGAGCTCCTCAGGTTTTAAAGGTGTTTATGTGAGGGTGTGTGGGGTTGGGATCCTGTGGGTGGTGAAGGAATTCTGGTTCAATGTCTGTAATGAAAACTCAACAAAAGAAATTGGAGGGAGCTTACCTGCAATGGTAAGTTCCTATGAATGAAGATCAATTACACTTACATTGAATTCAGCTTGCAGCTAAAGAAATGTATTAGAAAGGCATTAAATCGTTGCATTAATATTAAGAGATTAAATCTGTATAAACTCAAATCAAAAGGGGGATTGGTGTTTGCCTGTGAGAGTTCTGTATGAAACACTTCTATTTTGAGAGGTTTGCTGAAAGGGCTGCCACTGTGTCCTAGCAAACCCTGTGTGGGGATAAGCTGAAGAGTGGTAAGTGCTTTCCTTGCTTAGCTTGCCCCTTTTGATGTCCTGTGCCAGTATTGCTCAGAACTGCCACCTGAAAAAGCACAGGCCTAACAGTTAGTGCAGCACTTGGTTCTTTACAGAAGGCAGGTATAAGCTGTGCTTGGAGGGCTTTAAACTTCTTCATGGCCTCACAGGTAGCTCTATGAAATTGGAATATGCACCTTGGAATCTGTTTTCATTATATTTGTTCTGACATCCTCTGGGCAGGCAGATCCAAAAGTAGGTGTTTGTCAACTTGCTTGTAGTTATTGGAGAGACATCTTCAGTGCTAGAAGAACTTGATGAGAAAACTGTCTGTTCTGGTTTCATTAGATCTGAACCAGAAAATACTGATGGCTTTCCCTCCCCCACATAACTGCCTCGGCATCAGTCCCCCCATGGCAGTGTCAGTGCTGCTGTCTCTAACCCATGTCATCTTATCTCTAACAGGTTGGTGGGACGAAGACAGGAGTTGTGCGCTATGTGGGAGAGACAGACTTTGCCAAAGGAGAGTGGTGTGGAGTGGAGCTGGATGAACCCCTGGGCAAGAACGACGGAGCAGTTGCTGGTACAAGGTACTGTGTGTGCTCTCAAACCCAGCCTGGAGCTCTAGGGTCCCACACACCTCCCAGGGTGATGGTGGCCAAATGTCACTTGGACCTGTTAAGAGCAATTATGTTTGGTTGAGCACTGTGGGTTGTGAGGAAGAGTTGAATTTTCAGTCTTTCAAGCTTTGGAATAGCTTTGCAGGATCAGTGGAGCATTTTAAAGCAGGATCAAGTAACATCTGTGAAGTAACATGAGTGGCTTCAGGAAACAGGAGAGAGTAGGGAGAGAAGGTAGCTTGTAGTGAGATGCAGGTTTTGCTGGAAATTGATTCTGTGACTGCATTAGCTCTGCTTTCTACACATATTCTCTTTATAAAATTTCTTCTTGCCCTAAATCTGTAATTTACCCTGTCAGAGCTATAGAAGATAAAGACTTGACTCTCTATTCCTCAGCTTAATGATACTTCTTCCATTCTTTCTGGGGACAGGTTTCCAGAGATCCAAAGGAACAACTGGTGGTTGTTGCATGTCCTTGTGGCAGTTCTGTAGTGTGGCAGCTGTCTGCTGGCTGATCTGACCACCTCTGACTCCACTGGCACCTCCAGTATTTTATTTTCCAATAAAGTCCTTGTTAGTATCTATAAAACTAGACAGGGACATCTCACAGCCTTACTGGGAAGCTGTTTCTGTTTATTTGGAAGCTTGGTAAAAGAATGGCCCCCAACATTTTTAAGCTTGGGAGTGTTCAAATCCAAGTTTTATAGAGCACCACTTTGACCCTGCCTCAAATACAGGTAGAAATGGTTCTGTGTCCTTCAGAAGTTCCTTTAGTGGGAAATAGTGTTGATTTCTTGAGACTTCTTAAGGGAATCTTGCATTAGAGGGGAGATTTAACTTTGAAACCGAGGAGCAGATAGTTCCTCCCTTGTTGGATCTCAGGTTCTATATAAAGGTCTCTTGTGTTGGGTCAGGATTTTCTTTTTTCCGGCAGCCATGTGGTTTGATTTAAAATGAAAGAAATGCTGCTCTGTTCAATGTCAGGCCAAGAAAGCAGGAAATGATTGGCAGCAGATGGCTGAATTCCAGCCTATTCTCAGAAGAAAAGAACTGGGATGGTAGAGAGCAAGTCATGGAGTGAATTCAAGTCTCTATCATACACTACAAATGATCTCTAAGCTTAATCTTCAGGATGCTCAGAAGTGATTTATCTCTGTGCATGTGGAAGGTGTGGAAGGCAGATGTGAATGTAAGGGTGCTCTCTCTGCCTCTCATCCTCACACCTCTGTTGCTCTGGTTTGCAAATCCAACCTTTGGAAGTCATCTGTCTTACGAAGCTGCTACATGTTGTCTAAGGTTGTTACAGTGTGTGCCCTGTCTGCAAGGCTTCTCCTTTCTTTTGCATTTTATCAACAGCAGGAAAAATTGAGCTCCACAGCAGGGCTCAGGGAGCTGGAGTGAATTAAGAGGTTTGGATTAAACACGGGAGATTGAGGGAAATCTAACTTTGCAGATCTTGGAGCAATAACGGGTACTATCAATACAGCAGTGGTATGCGTGGACTCTCCAGCTGAAGGGTGCTCTGTTCACCAAGGATCTGGCTGCAGGTTTGCAGCATTGTCCCTGCTTGTCCTTTGATCCTTCATCCAACCTTCTGATTTTCTTATAGCACATCCCAATTTCAACAGCAGTGTTTTGGAGGAGAAGCCAACGTAGTAAAAGTGACTCCTTTGTTACATGCAGGAGCTCCTCAGTCAGTCTTCCCTTATGTCTGCCATAGGATTCCTGACAATGCCCTGAGCTTGACCTGCCAGAATCAGCCTGGGCAGGGACCATCCAGTTCTTCGGAGTCTCTCTGCTTTGGTGGCTGTTGCCATCTAGTGAGCATCCTTGGCCAGGTCACCTGCTGCTGCAGAAGCAGTCTGCTGCAGGAGAGTTGAGTCCAGAGAGCTGGTTCTGAGGCAGTAAAGGCTGCTCTCCTGCCTGCACTGGAGGTTAGAGAGGTGCTGGTGTGGATTTTGGTTTCTCCCCCATGAAACCAAGCAAGTTCCTCTTACTCATCTCTAGTACATTAACTTTTACCTGCTTATTCTACTGTTCTTCCTTCTCTGCCTCTGCTCCTATGGGAGCCTGTGCCCACTAAACTGTTCCTACCTTTGCTTTCACAGAGTCTGAAACAGGTCAGCCTTGGACACTGAAGGTGTCTTTATCTATTATAAAACTTTTTGTGCTATTTCCCACCTGCAGTTTCTATTGGCATCACACCACCACTTTTCTTCCCTGTTCCTTTTCTGCAATGCGAGTATAAAACTCCTTAGCGCTCAGAGCAGCTCTTGGTTTTCAGGCAGGCACTGCCAAGTGTTCTGGATCTAATTCTTGCTTCTGAACTGCAAAAGTTAACTGCTACCACTTCCAGTCTGGACATAGTGATGCAAGTTTGGACTTGTTAAGAGCTGTCAGGGGACCTCTGAGGGACATAGCCTTTGGCACTGTTGTACAGCCACAAGTAGCAGCTTGTGCTGAGAACAGAGAGACCTGTGGAAGGGACTGCACCATGCTGTTGTTCTGCCTGTGTCTACTGCAGTTTGAGATCATGATGCTGAGCAGGGCTTTGGTTGGGTTTGCAAGAGATCAGACTGATGTTCTTCCTTGGGTCCCTGCTCTGCAGCTGGGTCAGCCTGTGGTATGGCTGGTTCTCCATCCCCAAGGGCCTGTGTTGGCAGCAGGCACAGGGGAAGAAGTGATTTTTGGATTGTAGGTTTTGTTTTTTTATGAAGATTGTTATAGGAAGAATTTGGCTTGAGCAGATGTTTGCAAATGAATCGCTTTCTCATCTGGCTGGAGATCAGGCTGCTCTCTGGCCTCCCAGGCCCACAGAGGTCTGCCTGTGACACAGCCATGTGGCTGCCAGCGCTTCAAAATAAAAGGGAATTGGGGAAACAGCTGCTCACATCTGGAGAGGACTTGTATTAGCAAAGCTGGGTTTGTCACTTACTCATTAGGACCTATGTCCTAAACACACTCATTGTGTTTACATAGGACAGACTATAGCCCAGTATTTAGTCCTAGGCTACCTATGAAGCTGGTGAGAAAGCATTCCTAAAGGAGACAGGTTTCTGTGTTGGCTACTCCCTTGAAAGAAGGGTATGTCAGGCCTGGAGAAGATCTGGTTTTATTTGCTGCAGTGCAGCTGGCCAGCAGCAAATGAGCCCTGGTTTGAGCCAGTCAGCCCAAGCTCTGAAGGGGTTTCCAATGTCTGACACTGTGGGTTTTGGCTAATTTGTTTTCTGAAATAGGGCTCTGGAGAGACATAATCATTGGGCTCACTGCAGTTGTGGAAGAGCTTGCACTGTAATTATCTGATCCTCCCTTTTGGACGTTTCTCTCTAAGTTTGCTTGCATAGGAACCAGGTCCTCTCTCTACTACCCAGAGGATATGGTGCACATTGGAGATTGATATAATGATATCTTTAGATTCAAAGTTAAGAGCTGCCCTTTTCTGTTTTGGAAGGAAAGATTTTTACCCTGTAGAACACTCACACAGAGCTGTGTGATTCAGAGCTCTCTGACATGTTTTACTATGTGACTTTCCGCAAAACAGGGTAGAGAACACACTTGGGTTTTGTGCGGAAGGCGAGTGCATGTGCTGTCACTGTGTTTATGTACTGGGATCTTTGTGCTATTCAGGCTAACAGATGGGTCTTTCCTTGCATCTTATCAAAGTGCACAGCAACTAGTGCATGGCAGTTACGCTGGGTTTCCCTGCTTAAGCACCACAAGTGAAAACACAGAGATAGCTACTACTCTAAGCGGCAGGAGAAGAGAATAATCCAACCACTTGCACACAGGAAGCAACATCACAGCAAAACCAAGAGATTAGCTGAAGGCTGAGGTTATCTGTTGCTTAGTAATGCTGTTCTGTAAGGCTTGAGTGAGTTGGATGCTCTACCACTTCTGACTTGGTGCATTTCCTGTATTACAGGTATTTTCAGTGTCCTCCCAAGTTTGGCCTCTTTGCTCCCATCCACAAGGTGATCCGGATCGGTTTCCCATCAACCAGCCCTGCCAAGGCAAAGAAGAGCAAACGAATGGCCATGGGAGTGTCTGCCTTAACCCACAGCCCCAGCAGCTCCTCCATCAGCTCTGTCAGCTCCGTGGCATCATCTGTTGGTGGTAGGCCCAGCCGCAGCGGGCTGGTAAGTGGCTCTTTCTGCAGACCATACAGCCTCGATCCACTTCTTCTGTGACCCAGCTCTACAAAGTAGGAGGCTTGGGGTTCTATTTCAGCAGCTGCAGTGGGGCAGCTTCTCTTTTACCATCAATGAGATGGAGAGTGGAGTGTGGGGTACTGTTGCCCACCTTACAAATAGGACTCCCTCCATGGACACAAGTTGTAACAGGCACAGAGCAAGAGGGATCATTGCAAATAGCAGTACAGGCTCTGTGATAGGAGGAAGCTCAGCTCCACTGTCAAGGCAGGTTTTGTATAAGATCCCTGCAGACAAATGCCATTGCTTCTTGTCCAGCATGGTTGTGTAGCAGTGTACTGCTGTATCAAACAGCTGTGCAAAAGCTCCTGCAACGACTGTGTCTTGCTCTGGAAGGGTGACACTGTCTTGGATCACATGCCTTGTAGTTTGGCAAGTACTCAAGCAGGCAAATGCCAGAGTAGGAAGCAGTATTAAGAGCTGACTGCGGTAGTGTGTGCTGCATAGCACCTGCAGTCATCTTGGCTGGGGACAAGGGTGCAGTATCTGTTACTGGGGAGTGGATCTGAGTAGCACATACCAGTCTACAGCTGAGAGCAGTCTATGCAGCTGATCTCGCTGTTTGAGACTGCACCTGTGCAGGTCATCAATAAAATATACTTAAAAAGGCAGATGATCCAATAATACCTTTTCCTGATCCACTTCCACCCCATGTCCTGCCCTCTTCTGCAGTGCAGAAGAGCTATTGAGCTTGTAAGCAATGCCCAGATGTTTTGCGGACATAACCTGACCTGTAGGGTCCAGAGCTGGAACTGCAGCTTTGTACAGTGTAATAAAGGATCTATAGGTGAGCTACATTCCAGATTTAACAGGAGCCTCAAGCTATTCCAGCCTTAGAAGGACATAGCTTTACCCCTGTCTCTTTTTAACTTGTTTTCCAGCTGACAGAGACCTCTTCTCGATACGCCCGAAAAATCTCTGGCACCACAGCTCTCCAGGAGGCACTGAAGGAGAAGCAGCAGCACATTGAACAGCTACTGGCAGAGCGTGACCTGGAGCGGGCTGAGGTTGCCAAAGCCACCAGCCACATCTGTGAGGTGGAGAAGGAGATTGCCATCATGAAGGCCCAACACGAGCAGGTAGGAGGTGATGTGCTTTATCACTAGCACTCAAATATCTGGCATCCTCTGAAAGTTTTAGGTAACATTATCGCTGTATAGCTTCCTGATGTGAAACCTGGGCTTTAATTTCTGCTTCTTAAGTGGTGATAGCTTCCTGTGTGCTGGGTTGAGCTGAGGCTTATTCTCTGCTCCTGCCAGCATCCCATGGGCTCTGTCTGCCCCAAGCCAGGAGCAGAAAAGGGCTGTGCCAGAAGAAAGACAGCAGATATTGATCCACCAGACACAAACTACATTTGAATGCTGAAATGCAAGTAGAGGGCAAACTTGTTGCCCTTAGTCTCCCAGTCTGGCTGTGGCTGTGACTGCATTGCAGTGTTTTCTTGACGTTATCGAACACTGCTGAGAGCATCAGCTCAGTTAGATGCCACTGCTTTCCTACCAGAGAGGAGGTCTTTATCACATTAATAAAGTCAAAAGACCTATAAGGAAAACAGACTGATCATGCAAGGGGTTTTTTGCACAAACATTTGTACAAATGATACTTTATGCACTTAAATGCTTAGAGGAGTTGTATTTGTTCTATTTGTCAAGATGTAGCTGTTCAATGATTGCTGTCATGTCTCCGTGTCAGAAATGCAGGAGAGACTGGCAAATCAACCTCAAGCTGACATCATCTTCATGTGTAATATTTTCCAATAGTTAGCAGTAACAAATGGACTAATACAACCCTGAAATGTCTCTCTTCATTACGAGGGCTGAATTGCACCTGGTAACCTCAGAATGGATTTTTCACAACTATTGAGTCTTCAAGTTCTTAACTCTTAATTTAGAGCTGGATTCTCCAAAGGGTTCAAGTCAGAGAGGCACTGATGCATGGATCAAATTTACAGCTGCTGAAGATGGCTCAATTTTTTCCTTTTTGATCCCTACATAATGGGCTCTTTGAAAAATCTGTCTTCTTACCATAGCATCCTCTGAGACAGATCATCAAAACCTTCTCTTCTCTTGTTCTGACCCTTTCTTAACCAGCTCTATACTTAAAACTTGTAACTCTTGTGGCTTGGGCTCTCTTTTTCCTGCAGTACGTCACGGAGGCAGAAGGAAACCTCCAGCGAGCACGAACTCTGGTGGATGTGATGCAGAAGGAGAAGATTGAACTGTTGAACCAGCTGGAAGAGGAGAAGAGGTAAAACAGGAGTGAATGGGTATGGAGGAGATGAAGTCATGGGGGAGATGAGGCTCTTGCCCAAGAACACCATTCATTGGATCTAAGGAGAAGAAAGTGACTGGGAAAGTCATCTTTGGATGTCTTTCAGTACTTCAGATATGTTGTTTCACCCTCCTGGCCACTGTGGTCTACACTGAGTGTGGGGAAGGGTTGTACTGCGTTCAGGTACTGGGAGGTTTAGAACAGTTTTGCTGCAGTTGCACATCTGATAAGAGTCTTGTCTAGGATTGAGCTTCCAGTACTGTGGCTGCCCCCATTTTCTGACAAACTGCTGCTAATGACAACCAAACAGTGAAGTATTTCCTATTAGTCTTGTACAGCCCTATGTCGTATAGCTCTTAGAGAAAACTCAATGCTGTATTATCTCGTGGGGTTGTAGTGAGCTAACTTTTGTGACGTGAGTGGTCTCAGGTTGCTTGAATATGCTCAGCTAAACCTAATACCCCACTATTACAAAGCAATTTAAAGGCAGAAAGCAAACAGCCAGGGCAGCTCGTACTTGGGTATGAGTTTCATGATGTAACATGGTTTCCTGCCAAACACATGGAGAAGCAGCATTATTTGCCTGAAGGAACGAAGGGTTCTGGTAGTATCAGTTACTCTGAGATTTGAAACCATGACCAAACTCGCCCATGTCACCGTGAAATGGAATTGCTCAGTACAGGTGGGATTAATTAAAATGGCTAAGGATACAGTATAAGATAACAGTGCTGGATAATAAAGAGAACTGTGCAGTTTGGGCTATCCCAGACCCCTAACCTTCCTGTACAATCTGGCTTTACTAAGGACCACTTCTTTCCCCTCCATTTGGGATATGCTGATGTTAAGGACATTCCTTCTGAGGAAGGCAAGTCAAATTGGAATACAGCCTTACTGTAGTGTGATTGATAATCTCCCCACATCCCAGAGGCCCCATCCCTATATACGTGATGATGCATACATTTTCTCTCTGGATAAGAGTGAAGATCTGCTTGTCATTCTTGGAGTCCAATTGCTGTCTATATATAATTAAACTCTTCAGTGGGAATAGAAATACATTTCTGTGTATTAAGTAACTGAAACCAGTGTTGAGTTCAATTGAATGATGCTCCTCCTGAGGATGCATTGTTCTTCTGTGCCTAAGTCTTCGTGTTCTCCTGGTAGGCAGCTCACTTTCCCAGCTCCAGGAGGCCCTTTAACCCAAGACAGCTGACTCCTTTCCTAAATATCAACAGATGCCTCCTCTAATTAGAGGAGGTTTACACAAGGAAGCTTGTTTATGAAGTTAGATATGTACACTCACAGTGATTTTCATCTGTAACGGGATCTGAATCCTTACATCTGGCTACCAGCTCAACATCCTTATTATTGCCTTCTTTTTAATCAGTGAAGAGAACAAAGAGGGCTCAGGTTAGAAGAAAACTGAATTATTTTGTATCATTACTGGACTTTCTCTTCAGACTTTACAAAAGAGTCTTAGTCATGTCTCTGTGTGTTCATGTAGGTTTATGTGTGTTTAGTCATGACTGGCCTGTACAAGCTCTGGTGAAGGCTTTTCTGCCAGGGCAGCTCACCATTTCCATTTGGAAATGTTACATATTGCCCACCCTCTGCCAAGGAGGCAGAGGCTCTGATTCCCTTGGAGTGATTTGTATGGACTTGTGCATCTGGCACAGGAGTTGGTCAGTGCTCGGCTGCAGGATAACAACGTCCATGTAAACCAGTGAAACCTGGTTGTGGTTTTCATGTTTTCAGGATCCCAGTGTCAATGAATAGCAGTTGTGCCTGCTGAGAGGTGGTGCAGCAGAAGCAGCAAATCTGTGAACATGTACCTTGCAAGGAGGCAAATGTTTGCTATGTGGAAAACTTGCTTATTACTGTTTAGCTCCATGGGTCTTGCTGTTTAGCTGCTTCTAAGCTGTTTGTGTACAAAGATTGTCTGTATCCCTCTTCTCTCAGGCTTCTGATGTGTAGGGGAGGCCCATGTGCAGTGGCTGCTTAGAAAGAGGATACTGATCTAGGTGTTACTGATTTCTCTTTGTGTCCTCTCCCCTCCTCAGGAAAGTGGAGGACTTGCAGTTCCGTGTGGAGGAAGAATCCATTACAAAGGGGGATCTGGAGGTAATTCCTAACACCCTTACACCTTGACACCCCTTGAATGTGGGGAACCTGAAATTGCACGTGGGGACTCACTTGATTAACTTCTGCCACCTTTTGCTCAGCTCCAAACAATACTTTATCTTTACTGATGGCTTTGGATGTGCTGTGAACACCGTGGTATGAACTGTGAAGATTGTTGTTTGGTATGTTGCCAATGACTAATAATGCTATGGAGCTGCCTAGAATTAATCACGTGCAGCCAACTTGGCTTTAAGTGTCACCAGGAGTTGCCAAGCCATGTTACTTCTGACTGTATCTGAATGCATTTCAATATATGTTTTTCCACTGTAGAAATGAACTGACTGCTTAGTCACTGTCCCTGTCAGATGTTATTCTATTCCAGCTGAAGTGCTGTGTATGATTTGACCTGTGGTATCCCTGTGTGGAGTCCTCTGCCCATGAGTGTGAGGTTTGACACTAGGATACCCGTTCATTTGAAGGGTATGCTTGGAGTGATGCTGTGACAGTGAATATTGTGCAATCTGGAAGTGATGTTGGGAGCTTGCCCTTGAGTAGGAGGCTTTACTGTGGGGGAGAAATGGAAAAGATATTTCTGTGAAAGCAAGGCTCTGCTCTGTGTGTGCAAATCAAAGGACTTTAGCTAGAGTGCTAGGTTAGCAACAGCCAGAAATGTCAGGGGACCTGCTCCTGTGCTTCTCCATAGTGCATATCAGTAAAAGCCCAGGAAAATGGGAAAACTAGGCAATGGGGTATGTTGCTATGGCTTTGACCATTGTGGCATAAGCCTCTCCTCTTTATCTAAAAGCAGAATAATGTGTTTGGCAAGTATAAATCAGCAGTGTACTGATAGCATACGTTTGCTAGTGTGCTGTCAGGTTTCTGTGATTCCTGAGCTGAAATGATAGGTTTCCCCCAGTGCTTTGGAGGAGGCTGGTTGATCCATCCATCATTCCCTTTTGAGAGCAGCGAATTGCCCCTCTGTAAGCTTAAAGTGTTTAGGCCTGGCTGTGTAATAATGGCAGTGGGACCAGGGCTGGCTGTATATTTAAATACACCATGTTTCAGCAAGATGGTAAGTTGCTGTGACAGTAATGCTCCTATGCCTGCAGGTCCTAAACTGAGGAAAGATCTGACTGTCATTTGGGCTGCGAAGGAGTGGCTTTGCAAATAGGGATGTGGCCAAGCTTCTTGCAGGCTGTGAGGGTCCTGTCTTCACCTCCATGTTCATCTATACAGAGGAACAAATAACCTCTTAAGAAAGAGTCATGGAGCAGTTTGGTTTACTGTGATGCAGAGAGCTGGGGTGTTCCCAGTGAGTCCAACACCAGTGAGAGCACAGGCATCGGCAGAAGGTTTGCCTGTGGTCAGTTTTTACATCCTATCCTGTCTAATTTGTGTGCTCAGAGTGAATGATTGACTCACTGGAGATAATTCCCACCTTCCTGCTTCGTTGTGGAGCCAGTCAGGATTTCCAGAAGCAAGTAATACACTTAAATAAAACTCTCATTGGAAATCAGGGGGGATAAGTGCTCCTTCATGTTGCAGGGCATTTCCTGGAAATGGTTGTTCCTGGTACTCTTCATGTAAAATCACAACAAAGTCAAGCAGTGGCTGCTAGCAGAGCCCTTTGCATCTCTAGCTGGACCTGAACAAACCACTCAAATACCAAAAGCAAAACCCAGAGGTGGTTGTCTGCCCTCCTCTGGTCTTGAAGGCTAAATCCCATGGCATTTCTTAAAATACCATGTAGATTTTGAACAAATCTGGGACTTCCAGGTGCTAAGCATGGCGGGCAACATCCCTAGAAGCTCTTTGACCAAAGAAATAAGTGTCTGAGGCCTAGAGATATGGATCAAGTCTTTGAACCTCTGATAAAGAAGGAGCTGTGGATTTAGCCCTGGAATGAATTAAACCCGTTTTTGGTCCTGTTTGGCAATGCTGAAGGTATAATGGTTTGGAAGATTTAAAGCAACTGCAGGAAAACAAAACCTTTGAAGAAAGGCTTTTTAGGGTGAAAGACCGTGATTTATAGGAAATACTAACCTCTTCAAGAAACTACCTCATGCTCATCTCCTGTAACCTGCATCATGCCTTGAACAGCAGTGGGAAGTCAGCTTGTAGTCTGTCAATAGTAATTCAAGGCCAGTAGCTGGAAGTCTAAAATCCAGATCTGAACTTCCTCGAAGTACGGGAGAATGTTGAATTGAAGCTCTGAGTCATGCTGGCTGGGCAAACCAGTTTGCATAAAATAAGAAATAATACAAGGCTTGATGCAAGTCTAAAATGAAAGGATTGTAAAACACTTGGTCTTTCTTCCCTGATTATTTTTCTCCTCTATTTTTGTATGTTTTTCCATTGGAAATGGAAATGAAATGGAAACGGAAATGGAAAAGAATATCAGGTGGAACTGAGATAGCTTTGCTGGGAACTGGAGTGTTGCCCTGGGGACTCTTGAGAATGTCTCTTTGGGAGATGCAGAGATTAGTTTTGTAGCAGTTCAGCATCTTCAGGTAGCCAGTATCTGACGTGCTGCCACCAGTTGAGGTAATCTCAAATCTGTGTTGCTGAATTTTCACTTGGGGATTTTGAGCTAGCGTAAACTGAAGAAAATCCATTGTTATTAATGGAATAAATATCACTAAGTAAAAGCAAACCTGCTTTTTTTACCTTGCAAAATTTCCATCTTGAAATATGGATCTTTGAGCATTGCAGGGGGCAGGAGAAGCCTCTCAGTATGTAATTAGATTTCTTTTCTTTTTAGCATGCATTCAGCCAACTTTTACACTTAAGTGATATTATTTGGGGCTTTTGATAATGTTGGGTTCTTCCTTCAGGAATCAAATAGACCACATAAAATAAAGTAGTCTGAATATATCTGGCAGTTGATTGTGACCATCATCATGTATCACATATAATGATACTTTTCAAGCTGGAAGAGAAAACAATGTATTTTTATAAACTTCAGTTTCCATCATTTTTACACAACTATCCAGAACTTACTTTATTATAGGAAAGGGCAGAAAGTCCTTAAAAGTGGTTCCAACAAAAAGAAGGGGAAGAAAATTATTATATAGAAAATGAAAGGCAGAAAATGGAGGGGGGGGGGAATGGTTCTGCTCAGGTTTGTTTGCTTTTTGGTAGGTCTGATCTAACTCAAAGGAATATGTTGGGTTTGTAAGCTAAAAAACTGTGAAGGGCGGAGTCTGCATGCGTTTTCCCATGTCTCCTTTCCTCTTTTATTTATGGGAAATTTTACATGATATTGCAGTGGTCATTGTGGAGTCCTGAGGTTTGCCATCAAGTGCAGTTATATGGTACTTCTGCTTTAAGAGAAAGACACTGAAGCAATACCCTGAGTCAGTGCTCCTGGGTCTGGGCAGGTTACGTAAAGCTCTTGTGCTTAGATCAACCAAAAAAGCAAAACCAAAACAGTGGGTCTGCTTTCATGTGTACAAGGCTGAGTTTGAGTGCCAAAATCATATTTAAATTCATAGCAGGTCTTTTCAAACTTAAAGCATTGATATATAACAGTTTGGTATCTAAATTTCTGATTTGCTTTCAGTACAGTGTATTTTGGGTCTTAATGACATACTATGTACAGTATGACCTGACTCTTTTTTAGTGCAGGGTTCAAGCTGTCTCAGGAGCAAAAAGAGGATGGGAGCTTCCAGCTCTTCACTGTACCTTGTGATCCTTCTTGAGGAGAGATGTGGGGAATCATTGCAAGGTCTTTGCATTCTCTGATGCAAGGGTCTTGTACTGGTGGCCTGCAGTGGTGGAATTTTTGCTTTTTAGGAGGTGTCTTCAGTGTAGTCTTGATGCAGGAAAACACCGAAGCAGAGTTTCTAATACAGAAGGGTGGTTTCCCATCATAGGTTTAATTTTCTTGCAGGTAGCCACTACGAGTACCATGTAAAATCCTGTAGTGACCATTTTCTGTTTGGTTGGATTTTTCCTGCTTATTTGGATCTTTATTCTCCTCCTGTTGTGAACTGCCTTTCCTTGTCTTGTACACTGAAGATGATGTTGCAGCCTTCTCTTTCCCTCTCTTTCTCTCTCTCCCCTGCCCTTTTCCCATTTCCACTGTTCTTTTCTCCCTCTGTGTGACCAGACTCAGACGCAGTTGGAGCATGCCCGAATACGGGAGCTCGAGCAGAGCCTGCTGTTTGAGAAGGCACAGGCTGAGAAACTCCTCAGAGAATTAGAGGACACCAGGGTAATCGACCCCCACTTGCCCTGCCTGCAGAACAGCGTGCTTGGCCCCTGCGTTGATGCTCATGATGCCTTGCTTTGGGTTCCTTTCCTTTGGGTGTTGTGGGGTTCATTGATTTTTGGCTTGGATTTAAGCTTCCCTGATTCTTTTGTTTGGGTTTTTGTTTGCTCTCTCTCCTGGAAATAGTAGTACAATATAATTTCTAGCTTTTGCTTCTTATGTGGGGACTTGTTTCTCAGATTGAGTTTGCTTCTCTGCCCCATGCCACCATTTGACACATGAGCTCTTCACAATTCATTTCTCAATAATAATATCTGCACCCTGCACAATTCATTCTGCCTCAAGGCTGCCCCAGGCTGTAACAGGAAATAACATTGCAATCAGCATTCCCTTTGTCCCTTCTCCAGTTGTGCAAGCTGCCATCTGAAATGGAAGATACTGGTGAGTGCAGGTGGACCAGCTCTGATCCTTGGCCATGCCTGCAACAGGACAGGCTGCCCAGATGAACAGCACACCTGATCCTAAAAGCAGCCAGATGTGGAAAGGGCTTTGCCATGCTGGTGTGGTCTGGGAAGCAGCAAACTTGCTACAGTGAGCTTGCTTCTCAGCAGTGGATTTTAGAGCTGTGGAAAATGCAAACATGAGGCCCTCCAAAAGGGCTAAATGGTTTGAATCCCCCTGTGCCCATCTAAGATAAAACCCACACAGCCTCCTGGGCTGATGGTTAGTGGGGGAAAATGGCAATTGAAGTGAAATGGAATTGATTATTTGTGTTTTAACTTGGTTTCCTTGTTTTTTCTGCTGCCTTCTGATATTTCATCTGGTCAAATCTCTCCTTCTCCATCCATAGCTGCAGCACCCTGAACTCCCTGTGACAAACAGGTAGTTCAGCCCTGTTAGGATACATTCAGACTGTAAGCCATCAATCCATACCCTTATGCTCAGTGTTAACCATGGCCAGATTTATTGTCTTGCATCCTCTAGCCTTCTACATCATTTTTTACTTTGCTAATGAACTCTAACAAGTACTCTTGTCTAAAAAAATGCTTTTCCTTTTTACACCAGGGTAAACAAATTATGATGCAGAAGAGACATCTTAGGCTGAGGATTGCTGAGCAATAAAGGAAACGTGATATGCTTAATGTTGGGTTTGATGCTTGTGATATTCCTGCATGTGCAGTCACATCTCCTCTGTGCATCATCTGGCAAGATGCCCTTTCAGGACATTGTTTTTCATAAAGCACTGTTGCTCTCTAGTGACTTCCAAGGGTTGTTTCCAAAATGTGTGTTTTTCTGTGGAAAACAAGAGCTCATATTAGAAAAAAAAGATAAACTGCAATTGGCACGAAGACATAACTGAGTTACCGGTGATGGTTACCCTGGTGCAAAACTGTACTCAGGTTGGAGGGTGCTGGGTAGTCTTTTCCTTTGTGTCTGAATTTTGACTAATGTACTTTGGATTTACTTCCACTGGAGCACACTTACTGAAAGGAAGGATACAGCAATGGGAGGTGGGGACTGACTGTCTTCTCTGTCATGTTGCAGTTAACCACGGTGGCAGAGAAGTCCAGGATCCTGCAGCTGGAGGAGGAGCTGAGCCTCAGGCGCAGCGAGGTGGATGAGCTTCGGCAGTGCCTCAGGAGCTCTCACCAAGCAGACACCCCAGAGCATAACCTTGGCTTGCAGTCAGAGGCTCTTCGTCTACGAGATCAACTGCTGTCTGCCAACAAGGAGCATCAGAAGGAGAGCAGCCAGCTAAAGGAGAAGTATGAGAAGACGTTAAAGAAGTACCAGCAGGAGATGGAGAAACTGAAATCTGTCAATGAGAAGTACTCACAGGAAATCGTTGACCTAAAGCATAAAGTTCAGCAAGCCACTAATGAGAACATGGGACTTATGGACAACTGGAAGTCCAAGTTGGACACGTTAGCTTCAGACCACCAGAAGTCTCTGGAGGACCTGAAAGCCACACTGAACACAGGCCCTGACACCCAGCACAAGGAGATTGTGGAACTGAAGGCAGTGGTGGAGAGTATAAAGATGGAGCACCAGCTTGAGTTGGAGAACCTTAAAGCAAAGCATGACATTGAGACAGCTGTTCATATAAAGGAGAAAGAGAGTCTCAAACTGAAGTTGCAAGAGGCTGTGGATGAAGTGGAAAAAAGCAACAGCAACTGGAAAATGCAACTGGAAACAAAAAGCAATCAGCACCTTCTTGAACTCCAGGATGTGAAGGACAAGTGTCGAGATGCTGAGCTGAGGGTGCTTGAACTGGAGAAACTTCATGGTGAATATACGGATCAGACAGAAGCAATAGCTTTCTTAAAAGAGCAGATTTCTTTGGCTGAGAAGAAGATGTTGGACTATGAAACATTACAGAAAACAGAAGCCCAGAGCAAACAGGAGATCCACAGATTGCAGGAAAAAGTGCTTGTTTTAGAGAACAAGCTGCAGTCCATGGAGGCCCTGCATCCTTCTCAGCATGCAAATGTATGACTTCTGGGTCATTTTGCTTGTTTATCATCACCTTTAGTAACCCTTCCTAAGAGTAACCCTCAGGTGCTGTCTTATGTGGTTTTCTAAGGCTTTAATGCCTCAAAGTATGTGGATGTTTTTACCTTCCATTGATAGTGATTTTTCTGCACTGCATCTCCATGCTGAAGGTGTCTCCCGCTCTGGAAAACCAGTCCAGTGGCACAGTTGTTTAAGAGAAGTACAACTGGGCCACATCTGGGCTTAGAGGCACATGACTGCTGCAGCAGCAGAATAGGGTTATTGTGGTTGTGAGGGATAGGCTCTCATCCTAAGCAAGCTCCGTTCTGAGCTGAAAAAGCATCATTTCTGCAATACTGCTGTTGTCCTCCATGTAGCAGCCTTAATGTATTGTTGAGCAATGGCCCTTAGGGAGGTAGGTGGAGGGCAGGGTGAAAGAAGAGCCATTGCCCAGGCTGAGCTAGAGCATGTAGCTTGCTCAGGATGTGGAGCATGGTTTGAGAGCCTTGGTTAGGGGTTGAGCAGATAGGGTTGGGTGGGAGGTGTGTGCCAGCAATGCAGCAGAGGCCATGGGGAGGTTTTGCAGCACATGGGAGACACAGGGAAATGCTGGCTTTGAGGATTATAGTGGCAGAGCTGCTAGCAGGGGTCAGGATGGCACCAGTGTGGGGAAGTAAGGGACATGTGGCTCACTTTGCATTAGAGTGAGGGGGGAGATGGCTACTCATGCATCTAGGCTGGACCCCTGTTTGTGTTTGGACTTTGCATAAGAAATGGGCAAAAAACTCAACTTTTACAGTTTGTTCCTGTGGGGATGCAGAAAATGGAACTAAAGCCAGGAAGTGTGCACGTTAAGAATACTCATTTGAAATCTATTGCTGATGATGCAGTCACTGTTCCAGACTGAGGTGCCACTGAAGTGAATCTAATCCTTCTGTTTAATTTGCCAGTGTGAACAGCCCCATTGAAGTCGATTGCACTTCTAGGCAGCAAAGCCAAGCCCATGAATTAATTTGCCAAGTCAGAGCTTCCTGCCAGCAGAAAGACATGCTGAACTGGACAGGAGAGGCAAAAGCCCAAGGAGGAATCTACAGCATTTATGGTGTTTCAAGGGTGGCTCCACCATGCTTCATCTAGTAAAGACAATTGTGAACCATAAGTGCAGCCAGGGCCCTGGGAAAAGTGGGTTGTTATTGTAACATATCATATGTTATAGCCAGTATTGAACCAGGAATGAATGTTAAAAGCTGGAGGCTTGTTCCAGAGCCCTTTAGATAAATGAGAGGGCTCTGGGGGATATTGATACCAGATTAGAACCAGGGAGTGTTGCAATAATTATTTCAACTATGTGTTGATTTAGAATCAGGACAATGTGGGAAGAAATGCATGGGTGCATGAGTGTCACAGGGCAAATTCTGTTGTTAAATGTCTTTTAATGTAACTGCAGTGTTAACTATTCGAAGTATTTCAAACATGTCTTGTGATGGTCTTTCCTAGACCTTCAAGCGGGAATTGCAGCTGCACTTCCAAAGAGCAATTACATAGTTTTTCCATAATAAAGGAACATCAGGAGGCATATTTCCCCTTTGGATGTACTCCTGCTCCTGTTGCCTACTCAAGCTCTTGGGGACTGACCTCAGGGCTTCTGGTGGTGGTGGCCACATCAGCTGCTTCATCTGGGGCATGTGCTAAGGTCCCACTGAAAGCTGCTGGATGTGAAGAGGTTTCAGGGGCCGAATTGTGGCCTCTGCAATGGAAAGTTTGGCTGTGAGCTCTGCAGGCTCTGACTTTTCATTGCAGTATAGACAAAAGAGGATGGGGGAAAGGCAGAATCTCCTGTATGGACCAACATTTGCTTTTTATTGTTTTTATTAATGTATTAATTCTCCAATAATTATTAATATTTTGGTACTGTTTTCATAAGTTTAGGCACAGTTAGATTGTTCAGAAGTTGAGGAGCTTGTTGACTGGGTCTCAAGCTGGATGCTAAAGAGCACTTGCACTGTGATTAACCACAGGAGACTGGTAGCTGAAGGAGAGCAGCTCTTTCGTTGCTCTACACAAACTCTGAGTGTGTGAAAGCTGGAAGCAGAGCTTGTGGGGAAAGCCCACAAGCTTTCTCTCTTCCCTCCTAGGTGAATCTCACTTTTGTGCTCATCTGCATGTGGTTTGGGGAAATCTCAGGTGATACCATTTAGCTTTTTCAGTACTGTCCAGAGTGACTCCTCAAAAGCCTTTTTCCCCTCTCAGAAAGATGTAAAAGATGGTAATTTAAGTACTGGATACAGTTCTGCTTTGAGTGAGGCTTTGTAGTTAACTTTGTTTTGAATCTTTGAGTAAAGGGCTCTTTACATCTCATCTTTTACTTTTATTTCAGATGATTGAAACTAATGATATTTCAGAAGAAAAGATAAAGATGAAGCAGACTATGGAAGGTATGAAATTTTATTGCTTTTTATCCTGGAACACTGTTTTAATGACTCATATGCCTTCCCTTCCTCTAACTCTGCTGTAGGGAAGTAGGGAAGGCTGTGTGGATGTGGCTTAGGAAGCTGGGTTCATCCTCAGATTTTGTTGCATGGCATTTGTTGTTTGGTAACAAAAAAGTGCTCTAAGTTCTTTTCCCTGTTTGTTAATGTTTTATTCCTCCTGCGCCTGTGGTTGCTTTCTAAAACCTATCTGATATGGCTTTACAACTGTCATACCTTCTAATGTCTGGAGGTAGTGAGATGCAGTGAGAAACACCCGTTATCTGTCTCCTGATGCTCCTCTGCCAATGGAGGGTATCACGGCTGTACCCCTGTCGCACCCTGCCCCGTATGCTGGATCCCTTCCTGATTTGCATGAAGCTTTTTCTAAGATTCTGATCTTTGTCTTGTCTCTTCGTTCTCCTGCAGACCTCCAAGACAAGCTGAGCAAAAGAGACAAAGAGGTGTCATCACTGGTGTCCCAGACTGAAACTCTAAGGGCCCAAGTAAGTGGTAAGTTTCCCTAATCCAGTGCTGGTGGGAAATAGGTGCTTCCCTGCTTGTCCTCTGTACTGGTATTGAACAAGGGTCTGGGTGCTGAGATGGGCTGATGTAAACCAGGACATTTCCTGTCTTAATGCACATAGTTGGTAAAAGTTTGTTCAGCAGTTCCAGTCTCTTTTCAGGAGTTGAGCACAAACACTGCAGAAGGTATTTGTATCTTGTGAAGGGAGTGTTTGGGTTTATTGAACGTCAGAAACTAAAAGAGGCAGAGGTAAATGGAGCTGGGTGTGTTGTTTCCAAGATCTCCCCTTAATTAGGGCCAGAGCTAACCACATCTTATGAGTGGTAATTGAGAAAAGGCAAAAAGCAGGAATGCAAGTAAAGGACTGAGACCTTCCCCTCTGCTTCTCATAGCTTTGGAAAACAAATGCAAAACAGCAGAAAAGAAGACTGATACAGTGTTAAAAGAAAAGAAACGTCTGGAAAGTGAACTGGAAGCCTTGACCAAGAAAACACATGATGCTTCAGGGCAACTAGTCCTCATTAGCCAGGAGCTACTCAAGAAGGAAAGGTCAGTGTGCAGGTCTGAAGGACAGAGCTGGAGACAGGTGGCCCTGTGTGTGTGTGTGTGTGTTCATTCCAGGTGCTGTAATTTACCACCAAAAGAAACCTGGACATTGAATCATTGAAGTCCCAGCCCCCAACTTTCCTGTTCTTTAGAGATGCTTACTGTGGGAATCTGGTTAAAATTAGGGGCTGTGAATTAACCAAGGAGCTGCCCTTTCACTGCTTGCCAGGAGCTGTAAGACAGTTCAGTGCACATGTAGATGCTGAATGAAGTCATTTTCTTGCCAACTAAGCTGGCTGCTGCCCTGCTCTGAAATACAGTTCCTTGGGCAAGTCCCAGTCTCTAAAGCTGTCACAGTGGGGAGGACAGGAGATCTGAAGTGATGGGATTTGAGTCACGTTTGCTCACTGGCCTTTATTTGTATCTGTAGCAAAGGTGGGAAGGAGCACAGCAGGACACCAGTGTGTGTGAGCTCTGGAAATATCCTCACCTTTCCTTTCCACTTCTTCCAGGAGCCTGAACGAGCTGAGAGCACTGTTGCTGGAGGCAAACCGGCACTCACCTGGGCCAGAACGGGACCTGAGCCGGGAAGTGCACAAAGCTGAGTGGCGGCTGAAGGAGCAGAAGCTCAAAGATGACATCAAGGGGCTGCGAGAGAAACTGGTTGTGCTGGTGAGGACACCAAAACCCCTCCTAGCCTTGGCTTGCAGGCTGGAGGGCTCTGTGCTGCTACTGGGGGTAGTCTTCACCCTTACTCCAAGTCTTCATGCTTGCTTTTGTGCTACTGAGCATCTGGCGGGACCTTAGTTGACAGCACCTGTGAGATTGGACCTGGCTTAGCAGTGACTCATTAAGTAGTAAAAATGTCCTCGTGTCCTTCTCCAGTGTTTTTCTGTTCCCATAGGTTTTAGATCCATGGCTAATTAAGGCTAAAATTTGTGGGAGAGAGTGAAGGTCAGCCACCCCACACTGTTTTACACATTCTGTTCTAGGCAGAAGCAATGTCCTCCAATTCCTGTGTACTTCAGTGTCCTCCAGTGGTTAAAATGTGAATAATTCATTTGAACTCTGTTGGGAACGAATTAGAACTGCTGCTTGTACAGTTGCCTTCAGAATTGTGCTCTGACCCCATCTACTGTTGAAATCAAAACACAGTTGTATGAGTTACTGTGGATTTCTTCTTTGCTTAGTTTCTGTAGTGATTTGGTTTAACCTGCTCTTATTTTCCCTTTGCTGTTTAAGGACAAGGAAAAATCGGTGTCAGATCAGCGGCGATACTCCCTGATCGACCCCTCTTCAGAGTCAGAGGTGATCCGGCTGCAGCACCGGCTGGTCAGCACGGAGGATGTGCTGCGCAACGCGCTGGAGCAGGGCCACCAGATGGAGAAACTCATGGAAGCAATGAGGCTTTCTTCTGAGAAAACACAGGTAGAGCATCAGCAGTCACTTCACAGGTTGCTCAGCCCTCAGGTCTGTCCTGAGCAACCTCCTGGGATCTTGCCCTGTGCTGTGGAGAGTGATGCAGTCAGCTGAGACCCTTTCTTTCTGCTTGAAACAGCCAGGAAAGACTTTGTTCTGTCAGATGTAGCTTAGAATGAAGAAAAGCCTCACTACTTGGTAATTATGGATCCTGTTGTGCTTTGCAAGAATGGTTGCTAAATGTGGTGTTTTGAGGAAGGTTGCAGCATAAGTTAACTGTTCTTTGTCTACAACATGTGGCTGCATATCCTTGAGGTACAAGCAATTTGTAACATGAAGGTTGAAGGTTTCTGCCATCCCTGTTCTCAGAAGGTTTTGTTTCCTTGCAACTCATAAGCAGAAACTTTGGAGGTGACTCTGGGAAAATTTTCCATTTCTCTTGCCAGTTCCTGAAGGCATTTCTGTATCTGATCTGGGTTTGCTGATGGACCATGAATGATCCCATTCCAGTTACTGCCTTCTCTTCTCAGCTTCCTCTGGTCTCCCTTTGTTTCTTCTGACAAAAGCAAAAGTGCTTCTGTCCTTTGTCTTGCATCCTTCTTTGTGAAACTGAAGGCTGCAAATGGCTTGACTTTCCACATTTGCCTTTTTCCATCTCGTGTCTAAGCCCTGGTTGATTCCTCGTGCAAAGTGACCTGCCCCTTGTGCTAAGCTTTGTGCTTCGTGTCCTTTATTGCTCTTCTAGCTGTGTCTTCTCTTGTGTCTGCAACCAGGTCATGGTTTTCAGAGCCCAGATGCACTAGTGCTCCTCACGTGCTTGCTCATTTAAATTCTTAGCTGAAAAATGTCTTTCTCTTGCAGTAATGAGCTACAATTCGTATTCAAACAGACATGTTAGGATAGTACAAAACAAGCCACTAGTTAGAGAGAATGGGCAGAGAGCTTGTTTTCCCTGATGTAGGTGCAGATGTCTTGTAGTAGGTAATCGGGGTGGGGTGGGAAGGTGGTGGTGGTATCAAATCTAGTCCTCCCATGGCAGTGTCTTCTGCACAGTTTGCAGATCCACCAAATGGCTGTTTTGCATTACTGTAGTACTTGGATTGAGACAGCCGGGAGGAGGGTGCATTGTAGACATTGCAGCCCTGAGAGCTCTGCTGGCTCAGCTGAGCATCTGTGTGTTGCAGACAAGTTGCTACATCCCGCAGTGCAGCAGAGGCAGCCGTCTGCCAGCTCCAGACAGGACAGCTGTAGTCGTGATGACAAGTTAGTGGCAGTCCAAGATGTACTATAATCCTGTTACTACTTCTGGAGTGACTTTAGCTCCTGCTGTAATTGCTATGTGTCAAGTGAAAGTGCATCCTGACAGCCTCATCCGCTGGAAGCTGCGGGGGGGGTGGGAAAAGTTTAGTCTCTGCTTTAATGCTCAGTCCCTTGAGGAAAAGGAAGTCTTCCGTTTCACATTCCTATCTCCAGAGGTGGTACAGGTGGTAATTATTTCTTCCCCAGCTGTAGAAGATAACTAATCTTCCATAAAGTGAGTTGGAGTGGACCTTATGAGGTCAGCTAATCTATCCCTGGTATTGCTTTGATACTTTCATGCTTAAGTCTTAGAGATGTGACAAGATAGTATTATGCCTTCAACTACAAGCCATGGTACTGGGAGACAGCTGGGGGATTACTGCAGGAGGCAAGGCCTCAAACTTCTATTGATATCAGGGTTTTAAAGTGCCTAGTTACAAAGAAGTCTGGATCAAAGCTTCCCTAGTTTCAGTATGCTGTCTGTTCATCCTTTCTCTTATGAAGGGGAGTTGTTAACTGGGGGCTTTCAGGCTGAGCCTGAGGACATCGCTAGTTTAAAGAGATCCTGGTGCATTAGTCAGTGAATTGATGGTTCTTCCCCAGGAGCCACATGTCTTCTGTAACCCATTCTGTATTACCTTCTGACCTCCCGTCTCCTCTCTGTCAGCAGCAGCTGTTGCCCAGGGATCTGCCTTGGCATCACTCTCTCTTTGTCTGTAAAGCCTTCACTTTGCAGCACTTTGCAGCTCAAGAAGGAAATCTGTAATTACCACAAGCTGCTGCTTAGCAGCAGCCCTTAGCAAGACACCACACTCTGCAGTCCTTGGTGTGCCTGGCTGGCCTTGGTGTTAGACAAAAGGAGGTGCAGGAGCTGGGGAAGCATAGTGGCACTGTCTTCATCTCATCCTCGAGTACTTGCTGCCTTGCTCTTTCTATGCCTGCAGCTGAAAAATATTTGTCATGTCATAAAGGAAAAGGATCTTTATCTTCTCCATGTCTTGGGAGACACAAGCTTTGCAGGAAGCGACAAGGATTTGGCACTTGAGCCTTTTCTTGGAGAGCTGGCAGTGATTGCTCTGGGAGTTGTTTCATTTCATGTCAAGTGAATTGCACCACTTTTTTCATTATTGTGACCATGTACCGAGACCAAATTTCAAACCTGACTCCTAGTACCTGATAGATGCTTAGTGCAGTGATTGGGTGTGCTGCAGCCGTGGTAGGCTCTGTTGCCTGAATGTCCTGTGGGGTGCATGCAGACCCTAGGGCTGAGTCACTACAGCAGCACTGTTGACATCCATCTGGGTAGTATTCACTGCCTGGTAAACTTTGGCAGTTCAGGCTTTCAAAGCAGAGTTCAGTTTGAACCTCTGCCTGCTTTTCTTGCCCAAACAAAACCTCTGTTCCATAGGATTGACTATTGCACCTTTGAGGTTACAGTAAGAAAAGATCCTGTGTAGCTGTGCCTCCTCTGATGATGGCTTTTAAACCTTGTCATCTTGTCTCCCTATAATATCTGGTTTTGCTGCCATCCGCAATTCACCAATAACTGAATCTGGTTTCAAAGACTCAAACAACTGACATTTGCCATGTTGTGACTTCAGGCTGCAGCTTTCTTCTCTTGTTTGTGCTGGTTGAACTGTCATTTTGAAGCTGAAGGGCTCCATATTATCCCTGCTAAAGACACACTATAAATGTTTAAAAGTTCTTGTGCATTCTAAAGATAGACCGGCCTGTCCTGGCTGCCAGACTTGTCCCCAGAGATGGGAAGCAGGGAATGGCAAATGTCCTTTTCAGTGCTGGGATGTTCACTGTGCTGTGTTTTGCAGCTAACGCTGCCCTTTGCTCAGGGTTTGTTTATTGAGATTTGAGAGTCAGAAGTAAAGAGTGGGTCTGTGTCCATGAGGACACTGGGGGATGTTTTGTAGCTCAAAAGGATGGAATCCAGCATGTGGGGACTGGGCCAGGGTGCAGAGGGCAGGAAGCTTCTTGCCAAAAGTGGGGTGGGATTTCTGCCTTCTCCTTTCCTTATGTGGAGTGGGCCGCTAAGGAAGGGATAGCAGTCTTGCTAGGTTTCAGAGCTTGTAGGCAAAACCACTGGGCTCTGTGTCCTTCAGCAAGTATTGTCCATTCTCCATTGCAGACTGGAAATTCTGGGTCTGCTAACGGGATTCACCAGCAGGATAAAGCCCACAAACAAGAGGTAAGTTGTAAGCAGAATGTCACTTAAAACAGTGACTGCTTCGTGTGATTTCTTGCCTGCTGTGCTGGGGACAGCTCTTGGATGGAGGCTGTTCTGCCAGCAAAGTTTGGCTGTGTCATTCCCACATCAAAAGCCAGTTCCCAAGCATATGATGGGAACATCACCATACTATAAAAACCACTTGAAGCCATCAGGAAGGTGCTGGTGAGATGCTCACTGAGGTGCAGTGGGTGCTTTTTCTGGGAGAAGCAATGAAAAGGGAGTTTCTCCTCAGTCTCCTGGGTTAGTGCCTGTACGGCTCTTCTGGCAGCCCCTGCTAGAAGCTACTTGGTCTTAGATCTCTGCCATCTGCTTTACATGGGTGGCATTTGTGGGATGTGCTGTTATGTTCTGCCAGTTTTCATGATGTAGGACAAGACTTGTAGCCTCAGACTTCATCTCCACACAGGTAGGATGGCCAACCTGAGGAAGAGGAGGTGTGACTTACTGAGCAGAGGCATGGCAGGCCTGGTGGCATTCCACTCCGTGCCTCAGTTTCCTCTTCTGTAGAAATACCTCTGTGCTTGCCCTCATTCTGCCTAACAAGGTCTCTTTTCTTCCAGGAGAAGCTCTGATAGAGAAGAGGTGAAGAGGATCATTTCATGCCAATATCAGCTCCTGTGCACTGTCAGGAAAAATGGTACCACATTTGGCTTTAGCACCTCCAAAAGACCAGACACAGTATTTTCACTTTAAAGCAGGACAGTGTTTATAATACACTAACTGATGTAGTCAGGACAATCCTGCAGTCCAGTTTTCCAAGACAGCCATTGTTCCAGGGGGGAGCAGAAAGGTTTCTCTACATTTGGTTTCTTACTTGTATTGGTTTTGACTATGGAATTTGTATTGCTGTTGTCCCACCAGCTGACCTGGTCTGGATGATGGCTGCCCCAAATGGTGGCTGAAGTGTCAGCAAGTCCCAGTATCCCACAAGAACTCCAAAAGGATTTGCTTGTGGTGTTTGATGCTTCTCACATGGTCTGTCCCTTCCCTTCCACACATCCCGCTGTCTTGAAGACCTGCACAAGCAAGTGAAACCTGCTGGGCTGACTGTTCATGCTGGCACGTGTAGGCTGAGCAAGATGGGGTGTGTGGATGTGTTTCCCTTCAACTTGTAGAAGACATCAATGTTCTGGAGGCTGCACTTAGTACTTGTATCATAGCATGTCCTGGGAAATAATCTGATTTCAGGGGGATATTTGTTTTGTTTCTCACCCAGTGCTGTTTGGGGACAGGCAACCCCAGCTGTGGTTGGCATTTCTTCCTGCAGAGATCTCTGAGCAGGCCTGCCCATGCCCTGCCCCACAGCGAGGCTGACCAGCCTGATCCCCATCACTTGTATGTGTTTTATTGGGCCTTCTTAGAGCACAGGACTCCACAGCTGCATCTCATCACTGGCCTGAGAGCTCCATGCTGGCTGCAGTCAGTGTGGGACACATGCCCTGTGGAGATGGTTCCTTCCTTGCCCGTTTAATTTAGCAGCTAATCAGGGATCGCCTGGCCTTTCTCTGGAGCTATCCTTGGCTCTGCATTATGATGTTCCAGTATGATGCCCATCCCCTTCTGCCAGGAATACAGAACGCTGAGGTGCTGCTCTGAGCATTCATGCAGCAGCAGCTGTCTGTATTGGATGGGTACAGCATTCCACTGTGTATGACCTGAGTATGAGTATTTGGAGCAGAAGGAATACAAGACTAGAGCTCACACAGCTCTTGTCTGTACATAGCAGTGCAGGCTCAGGTAAGGATCTCGTTCCTTCTTCTGAAGGCTTTACCCTTCTCTGACTTTGACCACAGCTCCCAAGGGACACTAGGGTGGAGGAAAGGGACAGTATGCTTTTAAAGGTGTGAGACTCCAGATTCACTGCTAAGTACCACAGGGAAGAATCACAGCAATATTTCACCAGGCTTTCTCTAGTTAGTGCCTGACTCCCTCAGTCTTCAGAAGCTCTTTTGTTGTGATGGGTTATCTGTGAAACAGGACAAGACAGAAGAGAGCACTGAGAGAGGAGATCTGAGCGTGACCGCAGGCAGATGAACATCACATCATGTCAGCTTCATTGCTTTTGCCTTCATTTCCTGTAAGGTTGTGCTACTTTGTCTTCATGGGTTGCTAGACTCCGGCTTCCTTGAAGGATGAGCAGCCAGAAGCAACCTGGGAAAGACATGGGCTTCATGACTGCAGTTCTACCACAAGGAGGATGTTGCTGAATCTGGGCTATGACACAGCACTGGACCCTGCTCACTTGATGCAGGATTGGTGATCTCCCTCCATGCAGAGGGAGGATGAGAGAGGAAGGTGACTTCAGGGGTGTAAAGCAGGACAGAAAGCGCAGCTTAAATCTTGTGCATGGCAGGGGGAGGCAGAACTGCCTTGCAGAACTGCTTCATCAGTTTTACTAATCACCAGGAAGATTGCCTAGCTCTGAGACTTCCCAAGGGGATCACAGGGGTTATCTCCAAAATCTTCCTGGTCCATGTACTCCTCATCTCTTAAGCAATTCAGGAAAATCGCAGAGGGAGTGTTCACTGTTGCAGCCTGTGACAGTGAATACCTCTCTGGGAGCTGCTGGCTGTAAGAATTGTGGGCTAGTGTTTCCCAAAGCGCTGCTTTGCTTGGTCTCTGGTGTCTGCAGCTCTCTCTGGATTGAGTGGAGCTGAAGGAATCCTGCCCATCTCCGAGCCCAGGGCTTCCCAGGCACCTGCCAGTGGGAGAGCCCATTCTGCTTGGGAGCTTACTTTCCCTGGTAGGTCTTTTAGTGATTTGTGACCAGTTGCCTTCATCTATAGAGGGGAGATACCTGCATTTTCCACCTCCCTCAATGAACCTTTGACTCTGCACAAGGCAGGATCCCCGGGGAGGACTTATGGGGACCATGTATTTAGTTCCATTAATCAGATCTGAAGTTGTCAGGTAACTTTCAAGCTGGAGGAGTCTCTGGCTCCTGTCTCCTCCCAGGGACCATCTCCTGTGAGTGGCTCAGACCTGTGGATCTTCCCAGTCAGTTCAGGTGACAATGTAGACTGGCAGCAGATGGGGCAGGGATGGTTTAAAGATAGTGCAGATGGTCTTCTCTGGCTGTAAGTAGCTGTGCTGGTCCCTGAGGATCAGCCAGGAGCCAAGCACTTGCTTACTGCAGAGGCTGTTTGTGGGCCTTGCATTGCGAGGCCACACCGAAATGGGCAGTGGGGCAAAGCCAGGGCCTCTGTATTCCACCCTGCTTTGGGGAGCTGCTCCCCAAACAGAACTGACTGCAGCATGAGCAGGACATGCTATCACACATCATCTGGGTTTTAGCTCAACCCTGTATAAAGTGGCCAGGTTTGAACATTATCCATGTTCTCCCTCTCCAGAATTGGCACAGGCCTCCCAAGGGCACCTGCCTCTGGCTGCCCTTCTGAGCTTGTAAGAGACCAAACTAGGGACAAACTTGGGAAGGACAAGGAGGAGATTCCCCGGCCCCTCTATTTATTTGTAAGTTTAAGTGCTATTTTTGCCTATGTGGTGGTGTATAAAGTACTTCACAGTATTTGGTCTTACTGGCTTGGTTCTTCAGGGGAGATTTTCAAGGGTGTTGGAGCACTGATGCACCCAACTCCTGTTGCTGGTCAGGAGCTGGTTCCTGTTTGTGCCTTCACTTCCCTTTGGCTTCAGCCTTGCTTTTATCTTGACCCCCAAGAGCTGGTACAGGGGCCTGGGGGGTGGTTGTGTTCTCCTCTCCCAGCCTGTGCATGCTGTGCTGGTGCTGCATCTGGAGCCGAGTCCTGACATCATGCCCCAGAGCACCAGCACAGGGTGGGGAGGAGGAGGCAGCGCATCTTTGGAGTCATCAGCACCAAGGGAAGGGCTGGCACCCGCTGGGACACCAGCCATCACCCAGCTGCGGTACCCAACAGTTAGTGATGCTTTTCTGCTGAAAGCTGAGACATTATCCAGTGAACAAAGTCTTTGCTATGGAGACTGCTCCATCTTTAGTGGTTTTTTTCTCTAACCCTCTAGACCAAAGGGAAAAGAATCAGTCTTGGCTGGTGATTTCAGCTTTATCCCTCTATCCCTCCAGTGCTGGAGCAAGGGGCAGCACTGAGGCAGTGCTGAACGATGGGTGCAAAGCTACCAGCCAAGGCTCTGCAGCTCTTGCGTACTCCCAGCCACAAGCCCTTCCTCTGGCTTGCACTAGAGATGCATGAGGGTTTCATTCAAACAAAATGATGCAAATGACACTGTAAAAGTCTTAACAAAAAATCCAGTACTCCGTTGTTCGGCAGCTTTAGCAGCTCAGCACTATCTTGTAGGGAGTTATTAATACACTAAGATCCTATAGGCCTCATGTAAGTTACCATAATAAAGATGATACTAGATGTATAAATGGATGATAACCTTTTACCCGTACAGTATGTATTACAGTTTTGTAGTTTAGTCATTTTTTGGCTATCAGATTTTGTTAGTATGATATAAAACCAAAAGACAAAAAAAAAGGTTTGACTGCTAATGTCTATTTTGTTATTTGATTCACTTTATTTCTTCTTCTGTACAAAAGCTGTACAAACCTCAGTGTGTGTAACTACCCCACACGTGTATTCATGTACCACCCCCTGTCCTGGCTTGCTGGTGTGGTGAGCTCCTTACTAACCAATAAACTCTGTGGCTGCAGTCGGGCACCCTGGGGCTGCTGGGGTGTGTTCAGGGTGTTGTGCAGTGCCCAAGCCATGCTAAGAGGGAAGTGGATGGGATAAGGGGGGGCTTTGGTAGGTGCCCCTTGTCCTGGGCCCCAGCAGTGAGCTGGAGCCATTGGCACTGGGGTTCAGCTGCCAGCTGGGTTTGTAAACAGCCAAGCATCAGCTCCTTCCCCGGGGCTGCTGTTGGGTATCCCCTGAGCCATGGACTACAGTGCTGTTTATTCATCCATGACTATTTCTCCTCTGTTAATCTCCCCTGTCCCTCTCTGACACATTCACAACACCCCAAGGCAAGGGGTGCTGCCCTAGACCCACCTCCCTGTACCTCAAGAGGGGCACATACTCATTTGAGTGGTGCCATCTTGATTCTGCAAGACCAGAGGTGGCGACTGGGTCATCTTCATCCCTTCCAGCTCACTCACCACAGACCTTTAGAGCCCAGGGAATGTGTGATTGCTGTGGAGTGGTCCCAGGGCAAGCTGTGGTTGCTGCCAGCACCCTGTGCAGCCCAGCTCCTGCCTCTTTTCCCTATGTTCTCACCATGTGCCTGCAGGTGAGCATCATGGACTTGTGCTGTCCCCCACGGGCTGGACCAGGGGCATTTACTCCAGGGCTTTTTCTTGGCACAGCATCTCCTCGTTGGAATTTCTTGGACTGCCCAAGGGCTGTGCCCTAGCTCAGCAGCCCCACACACAGCAATAAAGCATCCATGCTTCTTCCTGCTATGCTTTCCTGCGCCTGTGGGCTGTATGCAGATCCTTTGCTGAAAGGTGGTGGGTTCACAGCTGTCTTAAGATGCATGGAAAAAAAAAGGATGGTTTTTTTTTAACTTGCTTCCTGGCTGCTTCTTTTCCTGAACTTAAGCTTCTCCCCTGCCAGGATTACCTGGAAGTTTTAAACCCTTTCCAAAGAACCGGTACAGTTCGCAGATGATGATTCCAGCATGGGGCCCCAGGTGCTGGACGGTAACACCATGGAAGCTGGGAATACAGCTGTATTTCAGAGCTGTAGCATGGTCTGTACAGTGTGGTCTGTGGTACCCTGCTCTTGTTTTCTCAAGGTGTATAGGAGTTGCTGTGAACCCCAGATCTCTCAAAGCGTTCTGTTTGTCCACCAGCTCCCTGTGCGCTGCAGGCGCTCGCAGCTCCTCACGTAGCTGGGTAAGAACAGTGGGTCCCTGGGTCACCGCACTGCTGATTCCTAGAGCTGCTGCCAGTGCTTCACTGTCCTCCAGCGGCTGGAAGGGGAATAATTGGTTTGAGCTTTGCTTGGGAGAAATCTCTGGACACAGGACTGTCCATCTGGGGCCAGCCCAGCATCCGAGCTGATGCACTCAGTATTTGCCTTGCTCTTCCCTTCCCAAGGCTGGTGCTTGCTTACGCCAGGTCTGAAGATGCTGTGGCTGGGCAGGGATGGGATGGTGGCCCAGGGCCATGGCTCCTGTGTGTGATCCCACTGTCATGGCTCGGCCCTGGTGTGATGCACTGGTTCAGGGAGGTTTGTCACCCTCTGCTCCATTGGTGCCAAGGCACCAGTAAGGGAAGGATTGCTCCAGCATAGCTCTTGGGCTGTCCCCACGCTGACAGCAGGGTCACCAAGCAAGTCCCCTTTTGTGGCCAGAAGTCATGGAGGGAGATGTCCCCCAAACCTCCCTGTTTATGGGGGCAGGAGCCTTTATCCATGTGGTGAATTTCCCATTGAACCCTTCCCAGGGTTCTGGGCAGGAGCTGCTTGCTCAGGGCAGGAAGCAAAGGCCGTGAGCATCATGTCCCTGCTCAGGGCAGGTGACTCCAGCTCCATCTTTTCTGTAGCTCCACACTATCATTCATTAAGGTGCATATTTACAATCAAGTGCCCAAGCCCTGGTATCTCACAGAGATAACGCCGTAGCACATGCCTTTGTTTGCAGACATTGCTGTTAATTGTACAGCAAGGATTAATAAAACATGAAGTTGAAAGATGCCTAAATCACAGGGGGGGAGCTGGTAATCTCTGCCAACAATAATATTTGCACTTTATTTTCATCCCAGCATCCAGCCAAGAGTGGAGCCCGGGCTGCAGAGCAGGACCACTGCATGTGAATGGATGGGGTGAGGATGGAGCAGGGATCCTGACCCGCTGCTTGGGCTCGGAAGAGGTGATGGGTGGGATGTCCATCCTCATCTGTGTTAGGGACCTCATTCCCTGGGATGTTGTGTTTGTGCCTGGAGCTGGATGGGTGCTTCAGGGGTGGGTTTAATCCAGGGATGAGGGAGGGATGAGCCATGCAGTGCATGGGGACACACACAGAGGTGACATCTCTGGGGGGATGTGGCTGCCCTGTTCTAACCACCATCCTCCTGCTGGACCTTCCTCTCAAGGGCACATCCCTGTGGGATGTTCCCTGTGGATGGGGTGGATGTACCAGCTCTATGCTTGGTGCTGGGAGACCTGTGAGCCACCAAAGATGCTATTTGGCTTTTATAGGGGCTGCTCATGTCCCCTCCCTCCTGCAGCCCCAGTGCCAAAGAGCTCAGCAGCCCCAGGGCTGGAATCGGGGCTGGGAATGTGCTGCTTCCCCAGCAAGGCTGTTTCCTCCCCATCCCTTTGCTGCCTAACAAGCATCCTTGTCAAAATAGCTAATTTCCTTCCAGAACAAAAAGTCACCTGAATACATTTGGAAGCTGTATTGCACTATCAGGGTAATCAGAATTTAATTTGATGCAGTCAAGGCTCTAAAAAGATGTTATCAAGGGGAACATCAAAGCTGGATTCCTGCGCTTGGAAAGGCAACTGGAATGCTTAGTCCCGAGTTCTCATTTTATCGGAGACTTTCAAAATATCAGTCTAAATAACAAAAAATGAATATTAAGAGTATTTGCAAATTAATGTCTTTTGTAGCTGAACAAAGGCTCCTTCTTTTGCATGTCTGGGACAGTCTCTTATTAAATCCCACTAATTATACAATTTTGTTGTGTCTCATCATTTCTGCGCTTGCAGGAATTGAAACTGAAGCTCTTTGCCCCCCTTTGTTGCACCACGCTGCTCCGCAGGGGCCTGATCCTGCAAAGTGGGGCTGCTCCCACTCACCACAGGGAGGTCCCATGGGTACAGGGGCAGAGAGAAGGTGGGATGGGGACCTCGGTTGCTCTCTCTCCTGGGTCTGTTATGCTTTGCATCGTTCCAGCTCTCGGGATAGCTGAGGAAAAGCTCCAGCTCGTACTAGTGAATGTACTTGTGCGATCATTTCAGGGTTTGCTTCTAAAGTACAACGTCAGAAGGCAGAAAAGTGTCTTAGGCCTTTTGGGCACCAAGAAGGTGGAAAATGTGACCAAAAAGTGACCTTGGAGATGGGGTGCCCCTTCTGGGGGAGGTTTTATTTGACCTGTGGGCCATGGCTGCATAACCTTGACCATATTCCCTTCAAACACCATGATTTCCACGCCAGGCTCCGTCTGTTTTGCCACCCAGCATGTGACAGACCGGCTGGGGCCATGGTGATGCACAGCATCCCCTGCCCATTGACCCGGTATCTTCCCTTAGCTCCTATTTCTGCAGAGCCCAATCCCAAACACTGTCATCCCCGCACATGTGGGACAGACCTGTCCCCTGGTTTAGCCCTTGGAAACGTGGCAGGGGAGCTTCGGGGGAGAAGGAGGTTCAACCAACTTCGTTAGGGAAATAGCGTGGATCTTGTGTTCAAACCTTTGAAGTGTTAATTAAAAAGAATTATGCAAAGGAGCGAGGGTTTGAAACATTCATTTGAATCTCAATAAGGCATCTGTATTAAAAATAGCAGCGGGATCAACTAAAGATACAGCAGTTTTGGAGCAAAACGGTCCCGGCATCCCTGGTGCTGTTGGGCAGCAGGTTTCTGCCCGCTCCCTGCCCCAGATGGGCACAGCAAGAGCCTGGGAAAACGCTTCTTGTCTAATGTTTAAAGACCTTCAAAGCATCTGGTTTAAGACAAGACCCAGTGGTGCTTTGCAGTAGCGCATGGGGAGGGAGAGAGGGCTGCATGGGCTGGGGAGGCGGCTGCAAGGCTGGCACTACCCCAGGGGCATCCAACATGGGGCACAAGGCACCCCGCAGCCCTCAAACCACCCTTTAGCACAGCTCTTGCCAGGGGAAACCGAGGGGCTGCACGGCTGCAGCACAGCCCCTTCATTAAAACCCCCAGCATGTCCTGGCCCTCGCTCATTCCAATGAAAAGCATCCAGGGTATTAATTACCAGATCGGTGGATAACGCCGTTAAGTTTACTTTTGTGCTGCACAGACCCAGCGGGAATGTCAATGCCTCCTGCCCTTGGTGTGGTGCTGCAAGGGCACCTCGGTGGGTAGCACCACAGGGGCACCGAGACCCCCTGTCTGCAGAGAACTGGTGTTCTTGGCTCATTCCCAGTATGGATGTGAGGGGATGGGTCCTGCGGTGGGGATGGGTTTGCTGGGCAGTGAGCTGGGGGGGCCTAAAGCAGCTTGGGCAGGGGATGGGGGTGAGGAGCTCTGCCAGGGGGACAGCCCATGGGAAAGGTGCTCATGGGCAAAGCTGGATGCTCCCTGTGAAATTGAGCATTGATTTCAGTGCTGGGGCTGTCACCTCAACTGCAGGTTTGGTTAAACACGGGTGAGCATCAGCCTGACCTTGGGCAGGGCTCAGGGGCAGTGGTCCCTTGTCCCCTGCTGGCTGGAGGAGGTGATGCTTTCAGCCAAAACTGCCTCAGGGATAACCCCGGTGCCTGCCTTCCTGTGCTAGGGAGTGGGATATTCATGAATGGAGCTTCCACATTCCCATTGGGATGCCTGAAGTCCGCAGAAAGGACACTAGGACCAAGGGTTGGGCTTTTGGACCTCTCTAGGGATGCTGCTGGTACCTGTTGCATCCTTCCTGCCCACACGGGTGCCTGAAGGATTCCCCATCCCTTGCAGTGATGACCCAAAACCAACCCTGGAGATGATGAGTGCTTAGGAAAGGGGCTTTCCTCCTACCAGATGACATGGAGCT